CTTCAAAGGGTGCAAGCCCCAAGCCTTTGCAGCTTCCATGTGGTATTGGTTCTATGAGTGCAAAAAGGGCAAGAATTGAGGTTTGGAAACTTCTACTTAGATTTCAGAGGATGTGTGGAAACGTCTGGATGTCCAGGCAAAAGTCTGCTGCAGGAACAGAGCCCTCATGGAGAACCTCTACTAGGGCAGTGCAGAGGGGAAACATGGGGCAGGAACCCCCAACCCCCAGCATCCCAAATGGGGCTCTGCCTAGTGGAGCTGTGAGAAGAGGGCCACCATCCTCCAGACCCCAGAATGTTAGATCCACCAACACTTTGCGCTGTGCACCTGGAAAAGTTGCAGGCAGTCAACACCAGCTCCTGAAAGCAGTTATGGGGGCTCTACCCTGTAGAACCACAGGGGTGGAGCTGCCCAGGGTCTTGGTAATGAATGAGTTCTCACATGATATGATTGTTTAAAAGTGTGTTGCACTTCCCCCTTCATTCTCTTCCTCCTGTGCCACCATGTGTAGAAGGTACTTGCTTCCCCTTCACACTTCCACCATGATTATAAGTTTCCTGAGGCCTCCTCAACTGTGTTTCCTGTACAGCCTGCAGAACTGAGTCAGTTAAACCTTTTTTTTTTTTTTTCATAAATCACCCAATCTCAGGTAGTTCTTTATAGCAGTGTGAGAATGGACTAATACATTGTCCTATGTTACCTCTTTCTTGAATAACCAGACATTTTACTTTAGGACAAGAATTTACTATGCAAGATTTCTCCCTCATATAAAATTACTCTTTTTTTATATCCTTCTTTGCAAAACAGAGAGAAAACATTTTTATCCATAACATTCTTTATGTCTCTCTTTTCTACTTAATGGTTTCCTCATATTTTGAACTTCCCTTTTAATAACTTCCAAATTAAACAAAAAATGTTTTCCCAATAAAAAATACATTTCTTTAGCACATTTTATGTAAACCTAGCAAGAAATCCTGAACTGCCTACCAGACATTAGAATTTTATAGATGAGGACCATTTTATCATTTTTAGATTTTATACCATACAATAAGCTCAATCCTATATTCTATTCTATTCTATTCTATTCTATTCTATTCTATTCTATTCTATTCTATTCTCATGCCATTTAAAACATTTTAAAGTCTATGAACATAAATAATTTGCCTAGGAAAGGGTTGCCAAAGGGGAGACCTCAGAGGCCCTGACTTGCTGGAGAACCTACCTGGTAGCGGAGACACTGAGAAAAAAGGTAGCCACTTGTCAGCTGCTGTAGGTGTCTGTCCATTTGAGGTCAGAAGCCTGTGAACTCCCAGTTCCTTTGACCAAGAGGGACAGTTACAAGCAAAGCAGTTATAAGACAGCTCCCAAGAAGGGGCTTGCAACTGGCTATTAGGAAAATAATACTTTTAACTTTAGGACACAAAAGGGCAAGACTAATATTCCCCTAGGGAGAGGGGCTATAACCCACAGTCCTAAAGGGAATGTTAATGCCAGAAACCCCAGAGCATCTGGGGTGCAGTCTAGAATACCAATGCTGAAAACCCAGAGTGCCTGCATTTCAGCCAATGAGGGTCCCCTCACTAATGCCGAAAAACCTGGCGTACCCAGGGTGCAACCAGCAGTGTCCCACAATCAAGTTGAGGTCACAGAATGTGACTCTGGTGTCCCACAGTCAACACACTGGGGGAACCTCTCACAACTAAGTGTCCCACCTTAAACAGTTGCCCACATATAGTTAACAGAAAGTTAAAAGCAAACAATAAGACTGCATACATTTTAGGATTGAAAATGGAATGACTGGTGGAATAATAAAATAGAAGGGCGAGAACCAGTGGAAGAAGTGCTTAGGATATGTTTCAGGGCACACTAATGATGGGGGCTTTTAACTGACCACTTAGCCAAAGGCTTTTGTTCCCTAGCTTACCTGATATTATGGGGGGTGGTAGAGGGGACACACCCATCCACAGAAGCCAAAATGTGACCAGTCTTCCCCATGGGACTTGGGCGAAGGTCCCTCCAGGTTCCCTCATCTAGAGTGGGCTCAGCTGCTGCAGTGGGAGGAGCTTGCACAGGGACTGGTGACCTACTGGTCTGCCTGTCAGAGCAGTGGGTCCCATATGAGGCAGTGGCACTATAGCCACTTTCTCATCTGCTCAGCTGTGCTGTCTGCCAGGAAAAATGGTGGCTCTCAAAAGAGCCTTTGATTAGTGTTAGAGCTCAGGCATTACAGCTCTGCTTAGTTACCTCTCTGCTCATCTCACACACTGCCATCTCTCGCTGTCTTGTTAACTGCTGTCTCTTGTCCCTTGCTGTTTTCTCACTGCTTCTCTGACTGCCATCTCTCATTGGCTCTTGCCAATCACCTTCTCTCCATCTCTGCTGTTGCATCATCTTGCCTCTCTTCCTCTCACCACCATCTCTGCTTTCTTCATCCCTTCGCGGTTACCAGATGTTTCAGGACAGAGAAGCCCCCAGCTTAGCCCAGGAGGGTTCTTGGCTTCACCTAGGAAAGAATTCAAGGGCGAGCTGGTAGTGTTAAACAGCAACTTTTATTGAAGTGGCTTTATACAGCAGCAGCAGAAGTACTGCTCCTTGTAGAACAGGGCTACCCGACAGGCAGGGTGCCTAGAGTAGCAGCTCAGAGGCAGTTCTGCATATTTATACGCGCTTTTAATTATATGCAAATTTAAGGGGTGGTTTATGCAGAAATTTCTAGGAAAATGGTGGTAACTTCCAGGTTGCTGGATCCTTGTCATGGAAAGGAGTGGTAACTTCTAGGTGTTGCCATGGCAATGCTAAATTGACAAGGCATGCTGGTAGGCGTGTCTTATTTGGAAACTGCTCCTGGCCTGTTTTATCTAGTCATCCATATGGTTCAGTGTCTGAGCCCTGCCTGCAGAATCAATCAAGTCCTGTCTCCTTCCTTATATTCAAACTAGATTTTTGTTATCTAATTGAAAAAATTAAATTAGTAGTAATACTAGCTCTTTTATCTTTTTCTGCCATGTGTTGTTTTAAATAGCTATAGACTTCATTTAGTAAATCAACTTGTTCTGTAAAGCACTCTAAGATGGAAGTTGGGTGGGGACCAAATTGCTGTCTTCCTAAAAGGAGGTTTGGAAATGACTCTACTTCCTTTGAAGAAAAAAGAAATAGTCCCAGAAGTTGTGAATATTTCATGTTAGTGCTCAAAAGCATGCTCTTATATAGCAAATATATACTAAATGAGACTTATATTGTTTACCAGAGTTTGCTATCTAATTTTGTACACTTCTCAAGATAGTGTTAATGAATACATCAAAACTTTGTTTTAGACATGATTCAATAATGGAATAAATGTCTGTGTATTCATTATTCAGTTTAAGAGGGAAAAAAGTCGCAAGATTGTGTGCTCTTCCCCAATATTCCTTCTCTTGTCTTCAGATATAATCACTATCTTGAATTTAGTGGGTTTTTGTTTAGTTTTAGAGTTTTTCAATAAGTATAAACAATAAATATTATATGGCATAGTTTAATATAAATGATGTTCTTGCCATAAGTAACATTTTATTCAACATTGTTTTTGAGATTCGTTCATTGTTTCCACTGCTCTGTTTATAGTGACTACTACAGTTATCTGTTCCTCATTTAATGGATGTTTAGGTTATTATTTTTGGTATTAAAAGCAATGCTCTAATGAACATTCTTATCATATCTTTTGGACACGTGAGTGTTTTCACTTAGATTTATACATGGGGTGTATTTAGGGATTATGCACATCTTAATATTGTTAAATTTTAAACCTTTTAGCAGTCTGATAGATTTCTCTTGGCTCAACAGACATTTCACACGTGGCCACAGACTATCACACTTTAAACTCCATTAGATTTGTATAATTTATCTCAGCATGCCCCAACCCCCAGGCCGCAGACCAGCACCAGTCCATGGCCTATTAGGAAACACGCTGCACGACAGGTGGTGAGTGGTGGGTAAGCAAGCATTATCGCCTGAATTCTGCCTCCTGTCATATCAGTGGTGGCGTTAGAATCTTATAGGAGTGTGAACTCTATTGTGAACTGCACATGTGAGGGATCTAGGTTGTGCATTCCTTATGAGAATCTAATGCCTTATGATCCAAGGTGGAACAGTTTCATCCCAAAATTATCTCCCTACCCCATCCGTGGGAAAATTGTTTTCCATGAAACTAGCCACTGGTTTCAGAAAGATTGTAGACCACTGATTTATATGATATCTCAGGCTTTCATTTGGATTCCATGATTATTACTGAATTGTATATCTTTTTGTGGATTTATTGATTTTATTCTTTGCTTCCCACCCACCCCATCCCCTTATTTGATTTGTTGATACTCTTTATACTTGATAATAGTTTGTTGACTGAATGTATTGCAGATACTGCTCTCAGTGTGTGACTTATTCTTCCGTGTCATTTATGGTTAGCCTAGCCAAATGTATCAGCTTTTAAAAATGATATATGCATTCTGCATCTTGTTAACATGATTTATAAAGATTTTTAAATTTTCTTCTAAAATGTAAAGTCTTGTTTTTTCACATTTAGATTTTTTAATGTGCCTTAAAATTTTTGTGTACACAGTGTTTCTTTTTAAGGATTTTGTGGAAATAAAACATCTAAAATTATCTAGATTCCTTTAATGGATGTATTATTTTAACTTATATTTTAAGGTGGATGCATGACAAGTATACAATTTATTCATTTGTATAGACTATGTATGAGTAATTGTAATTATTTTTTTTAACGACCTATGCTTATATCACTAACAAGTGAAGGAACACATCCTAAATAGAATGTTTTAATTATCTCAAGAGAAATTCAACCTTTCAGTAAACCAAAACTTTTCTTTTTACCTTTTTTATTTTTTCAAAATATAATCATTCATTATAAATTGGAACTTTAATTTGACAGAAACATTTGTATTTATTTCTAAAATTTATTTGTATTATTTGAAAGTTGAAGTCTTCTTATTTTTTGGTGTTTCTTTCAGAGCTCTGATTATACAAAACCAGGAGACATTGACCCTACATCTGTAACAAGTCCCAAAGATCCGGAAGATATACCAACATTTGATGAATGGAAGAAGAAAGTTATGGAAGTAGAAAAAGAAAAAAGTAAGGAAGTATTTGAGTTCTTTAAACATTTTCTTTTTTTTTTTAAGTTTATGGTGTAGTTTTAATATGCTTTCTTTTTTTGATTGGTAAAACAAAATAAAACTTACTTTTGAAAACTTTTTAAAGGTGAAACTTACCAAGTTGCTGTTGATCCATCCATATGTCATGTACCTGTATATAATTACATACAGTTCTAGTTTTAATTGAAATCCATTCTTGTAAATTATTAAGCGGGCATAAAATAAGGCATAGCAGTGATTTCCATCACAGTTAATACAAGGAAAATTGAGGCATGGAAGCTATTTTAAAATTCATGTGGAACTCAAAAAGAACTTGCATAAAATCCTTGAGTTTAAAATATTCTTTAACTTACCAAAAGGTGTTTTACATATGGTGTTTCAAGAACATACCTAAAGAAAAGCTTATGTTATGAGGGAGAGGAGGGTGACTAAAATTATAGTTAATTTATTCCCTGTGTGATGGGTTGTTAGGTGCAGCATACCACCATGGCACATGTTTACCTATGTAACAAACCTGCACGTCTTGCGTGTGTACCCCAGAGCGTAAAAAAATAATAATAATTTAAAAAATACATCCTTAATAGATGTTTATAATAGATGTAAATACAGAAAGCTTTGATTCTCATGGACAAGCTTCATTTTGTGAGTTATATTACTTAGACATAAATTAATGTAGAATTTTGTAGTTAATTTGTTTTTGGGGGATATTTTAAAGCTGTTGAGGTGGAGCACTTTGATTTTTTGTGAATTTTTAAAATATTCTCTTAAGTGTTAAAACCTATTCTTTTCTAGAAGACAGCTTATTGCTTTTGAGATCAGTGTTGCTAGAGGTATTTTCAGTCATAATCAAATATATGTATATTTATAATAAAGTTTGTCTGCAGGTCAGTCAATGCATCCATCTTCTAATGGAGGTTCACATGCCACCAAAAAGGTCCAGAAAAATCGAAATAATTATGCCTCAGTAGAATGCGGTGCCAAAATTCTAGCAGCTAATCCAGAAGCCAAGGTAGGTACTTAAGTATAAAATTTTATATATATAGGAAATTAACAACTTTTAAAAATATAGGCATTTGTTTACTGGGAACTATATTTTAATGTGAGATATTTTCCTTATTCCCTAACAAAAGCAGAATATGCTTTTCAAAACATTATCTTGTATGAATTCTTATTTATATTCACTGATATATTTTACCCTGCATTTTTTAACTTTTAAAAACCGTATGAAATTTTAAAAAGGAAATAACTAAAATATTATTTTTTTCTTTAAAGTAACAGACATTGAATTTTAAATGTATTGTCGTGACACTAATTTAATGCTGTAGCCATGAATGGTGAATCTTAGCTACTTTTATGCTTTTTTCCCAAGTGAGTGTTTTAAAGTCTTAGGTGTACTTAAGATCTAAAAATACAGAAGTCCTAGAAAACTTTAAAGTTAAAATAAATACTTTCTTCATTATTCCTAAAGTAATTTGTTTCCTTTCCTCTTTTTAAAATAGAGCACATCTGCTATTCTTATAGAAAATATGGATCTTTATATGTTGAATCCTTGCAGCACTAAAATTTGGTGAGTAATAGACAGTTTTAAAGAGTACATTCTGCATATATATGCATATTATGTTAAGCTTTTGCATTAGGGTTAATCATTTAATAAGCATTTATGATTGATTAGTGCTGATACTATGCAAAACTGAGGACAGAATGCCTTCCTTTCCTTTTGAGGAGGTCACAAAAAGAAAAAAGTGACAGACCTGGTTAAACAATTATGAAATGGTATAAAAAGTACTGTTGAAAGGGTGTTATTGAAAGAGTGATGATGTGTAACTGGAAGAGGAGATGAGAGAAGGCTTCCTGGAAGAGGTAATTCCTGAGCTGAACCTTGAAGGATTAATAGGAAGTGGCAGATGAATGAGTCAGAAGTATTCAGGAACTGTAAGAATAAGGGGGTAATGCTGAAAAGGAGTATGTTTCTTCTGGGTGACTGTTAGGTATTACAAGAAGAAAGGTGCCATGAGAGTAGGGGTGGAACATAAGCCTGGAGCATTCATTTATCTATAAGTAGGCCATTCGGTGCTATGTATACCCAACTTAAACATTTTTGAACTTAAAGACCATGAAGTACAGTATTTGATTTAAGTAAGGAAGTGACATGATCTCACTGGCATTTTAGGAAGGCTTGTCCTCAAAGGGTGGCCTACAGAATGGAATTGTAAGCATGGTTTGGAACCTATTGTCATAACCTGAGTGAGAAATAAGGACTATAATTAAGACATAGGCAAGTTGGATTCAGAGGAGAGGAATATATCTGAAAGAGGTTTATGGCAGTTAAAATTGGCAGCTTTTGGTTGGTATTTGGATGTGAAGAAGAGAGAGGCACCCAGGAAATTTCCTGGAATTTTGGCCTCACTGCTTGGATCTATGATTGTGCCATTAACTAAGTATATAGGAAAAGGAAAAGATATATGGGGGAAATTAATGTGATATACTAACAGTTCTATTAGATTACTTGATTTTATTGCAGAAAGCAGCTGTTTGAAAAAGAACTGAGGAAAACCACCATCGTGTTGATTCACTAGATTGAATGAATTAATGAATTAATAAAATTTTTTTTAACTTAAGGAGGTACTCTTTAAACCTTAAAAATAATGCTTATTCTTTTCTACTCTTGGCTTTCATTTCTTTTGGAAATGTGCACGTTTAGATTCCACTTGAAAATGAATCATACTACTTAAGGGGAGGGGGAGTAAGGGATGGATTTTGAAAACTTAATTTTTCCTTATGCCATTCAGTTTGTAAATTGAATTGAAGAAATGATTATTTGAGATCATAATCTAAATATTTTGAGGTTTTTGTTTTTATTTGTAAAAGCCTCTATTGTCAGTGACAAATTTTTATGCTCAAAAATTTTGTATTTCAAGCAAAGCCATGCTGGGATGAAGTCATATGAAGCAGTCATTTTTTTATTATGGTTTGCAGAATGAGTGATCATAGCTACCCATTTGTATTTTAATGTTTCTGCCAGACAGCATGTATGGTATATGTCATATAATGATACATTTCAGTCAACGATGGACTGCATGTATGAAGGTAGTCCCGTAGGTTATAATACCGTATTTTTACTATGCCTTTTCTATGTTTAGACATACAAATACTTAACATTGTGTTACAGTTGCCCACAATATTTAATACAGCAACATGCTCTACAAGTATGTAGCCTAGGAGCAATAGTTGTATAGCCTAGATGTATAAATAAGCTATACCATCTAGGTTTGTGTGAGTACACTCTGTGATTGTGACAAAACACCTACTGATGCATTTCTCAGATGTATCCCTGTTAAGTGACACATGATTATATTTATGTTTGTAGGTATGTATTTATATATTACTTTTTGCACATTTATGTATGTGTCTTTTCATTGTGTGATTCAAGAGCCTCGGAACATCTTTAACTGATTTCACCTGGTTTAATTAGATCCCTCCCCCCCAACCCCATCTAAGGGAACAGTAAGACCATACTCTCTAACAATAGCTTTATAAGTCTTAACATCTGAAAGAGTGAATTTGTATACCTCATCCTCTTCAGAAGTGTCTTCACTGTTATTGCCCCATTGTTTTTTCTTTTAAATTTTAGAATTATCTTAAGTGCTATAAAAAATGCTGACATTTCCATTGGAATTTTATCAACTCTGTAGATGAATTTTGGGTTAAGTGACATTTTAGAATACCGAGTCTTCCTATTCTTTCATGTTTTGATTTGATATTTATTGAGTACCTGTTATGCCGCTGATACTAGAAAAACATTTTTTCACAACATAAACTGAGATCTCTGTTGCCATGGCACTTGTATCCTAGAGAGGTGTCAGTCCCTGATCACTAATGAGATTGAGCATATCTTCATGTGTTTGCCATTCAGTTTTTCCTCTCATGTGCAGTCTATCTTTTCCTCTGTTTTCTGTTGATTTATGTGTTTGATTTTTCTTATTGTCTAGTAGAAGTCTAGATAGACTTGGCATTTTGTCTTATAGAATGGGCACAACTTAGTCTATTTTGTAGAACTCTGGATAGGACATTTAAGTTGTGTATGTTACACTTATCTTCCTTCTCTGGTTTATGGACTGTCCTTTTAATTTCTTTATAGTAGCCCCCCCCGCCTTTTTTTTTTTTTGAAACAGAGTCTCACTCTTTTGCCCAAGCTGGAGTGCAGTGCCATGGTCTCCCAGGAGCGTGCCACCACATCCAGCTAATTTATTTTTTAACTTTTTGCAGAGACAGGGTCTTGCCATGTTGCCCAGGCTAGTCTTGAACAGCGAGCTTCAAGCGATCCTTTCACCTCAGCCTCCAAAGCCCTGGTATTACAGATGTGAGTCACTGCACGTGGCTTATAGTGTCTTTTGAGGAAACGAACTATTTTAATTTTCACATAGTTGAATTTATCTATCTTACAATGTTGGGATTTTCTGTTTTTAATGTCAGAGATTTCTTCCTGCCCTGAGGTTATAAAGATATTATTTCGTGTATTTCCTAGAATTTAAAAACTTTGCACTTTATATTAGGTTTTTATTCTCCTGAAATTGTTTATAGTTTTATATTATTTATGGTATACAGGAAGGGTTCATTCCTTCTCCCTATTTTTTCTGTTTAGATAGTTGTTTATTCAGTAGTTTACATGTTCCCCTCTGATTTCGAATGCAACCTTTATTGTTAAGTTCCCTTATATACATTTTGTTTTTTTGTATTCTCTGTTCTCTTTCATTGGTCAATTTACCATTACCTGCAATGACACCACTTAGCTTTGTAGCTCTTAATATTTGATAAGGCAAGTTTTGTACTTCAGGACTCACTCGGCTATTCTTCTGCTTCTGGTTTTTCTTATAAATGTTAGACTTTTGGCCAGGCGCAGTGGCTCACACTTGTAATCCCAGAACTTTTAGAGGCTGAGGTGGGTGGATCACCTGAGGTCAGGAGTTTGAGACCAGCCTGGCCAACATGACGAAACCCCATCTCTACTAAAAATACAAAAAATTAGCTGGGTGTGGTGGCAGTCACCTGTAATCCCAGCTACTCGGGAGGCTGAGGCAGGAGAATTGCTTGAACTCAGGAGGTGGAGGTTTCAGTGAGTTGAGATTGCGCCATTGCACTCCAGCCTGGGCATCAAGAGTGAAACTCCGTCTAAAAAAAAATAAATCAGTAAAAAAAATAAATCTTAGACTTTCCCTTTTGAATTCCTTGAATGTCATATGGGAATTTTGTTTGGAATTTTATTGGATCTTTAAATGACTTTCAGATACTGAGGTTTTGTATCCATAAGCAGGGCATATCTTTCTTTGTTGTCTTTAATGTCTTTCAATAAAGTTATTTTTTTAAAAATTTCCGTGAAAGCATTACATATCTTTGGTTATTTTCTTCCCGGGCAGCTTTTTAAAAAATTTTGTTTTGTTACTATTGTAAATGATATCTCTTTAAAATTACATTTTGTTGTATACAATTATGCAGTTTTTACATATGGATCTTATATCGGACTACCTTCTTATATTGCCTTATTTTCTAGTAATTAATATGCAGATTCTTCGGTGGTTTCTATGGAGAATTAGACCTTCTCTACCAATTTTTTTTCCATTAAAAAATTTCTGATCCTTTTTATTACATGTTACTTTCGTAATTTTTTTTTTGAGACAGAGTCTCGCTCTGTTGCCCAGGCTGGAGTGCAGTGGCACAGTCTCAGCTCACTGCAGCTTCTACCTCCTGTGTTTAAGCGATTCTCCTGCCTCAGCCTCCCAAGTAGCTTGGATTACAGGCACCCGCCTCCACGCCTGGCTAATTTTTGCATTTTTAGTAGAGATGGGGTTTCACCATGTTGGCCAGGCTGGTCTTGAACTCCTCACCTCAATTAGTCTGCCCGCCTCAACCTCCCAAAGTAATGGGATTACAGGCGTGAGCCACTGCACCCAGCCAATACATTTTACTTTTTTAGTCATAACATGCTGGCTAGATAGACCCTTGAGAACTAATAAACATGACTGAGCTTAGGATACAGTCTCTGATGGACGGCTATATGCTCAGCTACATCCTGGGGAAAAATGTGAAGTAGTCAATTAGTGTTTATTGATTTATTCTATGAAATGGTGATAATATCCCTTGCAATTTGGTTGTAAGAATTAAATCAAAGGATGGGTAAAAATCATAAAACATGGTATCTGATCCAGAGTAAGCATTCAGCAGGTGTTAGTTTCCTCTCTTCATGAGCCTTTCTCTGAAACCTGATTTTGTTTTTTAACCATCTCCTGGGACTTAAGTCTGTTGCTCTCCAAGATTAAACACTATCTTAATTATAATGCTTTTGATTTATTTAGCATTTAATTGTCTTTCTATAAATCTCCTTTGATAATTTATCAAAGCAGTGATTAGAGTGTTAGATGTCATGGGTATTTATTTTCCCCCAATGCTGTGCTATATTCAATTTTATGCACATGGAACCATACTTTTAATTTTTTCCTAAGCAGCAGTATTTTTGACATCTTTGCATGTTAATAAATGTAAATCATAGGATCATTTTAAAAAAAAGAGCTTTATTGAGGTATAGTTGACATACAGTAAATTGCATGTACAATAAACTACATGTCAAAGTGTATAATTTGGTAAGTTTTGACATTTATGTATCTGAAATCATCACCACCATAAAGATAACAAACATCCATCATTCCCAAAAGTTTCATCATACCTCTTTGTAATTTCTCACAAACTCTCTTCTCCCACAGCAATTACAGATCTGCTTTCTGTTACTGTAAATTAGTTTACAGTCTCTAGATTTTTATGTAAATGAAATAATAGGTTTTAGTACCAGTTTTAATGGCTGCTTAGTATTTCATTGTCTGGATGAACCATAATTTGTTAATTCTTTTTGCTAAATATTTAAGTTGATTTCCTCCCCCCCCCCGCTCTTATAGACTGGTGTGCTTCAATATAGCAAAATATATATACAAAGGTGGACATCTGAAGCTTTGAATCCTTAAGATAAATTTCTGAGAACTAAATTGAAGACTATGATAACTTTTTAAGGCAATGTATATGCCAAACTGTCCTCCAGACTAGTCATTTTACGCCATCACTGTCTGTTTTTAGGAAAGTCATCCCTTCTCCAAGAATGAGTGTTATCTAAAAAAAGAATCTTTTAAAAACGATGGTGGAACAAAATCAGTATTGTTTTATTTACAGGTTTTTTTTTTTTTTGCCCCACTAATGATATCCTTGGGAAGTATTTAAAGATGTTTCGTATAGACAACTCAGGCTACATACCCTCCTTAACATTTTAATGAACAACTTTTCATGGTAGTCTAATTTATGGAAACTGTTAATGTCATATTTAAAATGAACTGTTGATTGGTTTAAGTAATTGTCTTTTGTTCTTTTTGAAGGTTTGTTATTGAACTTTGTGAACCAATTCAAGTAAAGCAGCTTGATATTGCAAATTATGAATTATTTTCTTCTACTCCTAAAGATTTTCTGGTTTCTATCAGTGACAGGTAAATTCTAAAGCTGTGTCTGTAGGGTCTATGTTGGATCTCTGAAATAAAACAAAAAAGTGGGTCACTATTTTGACTTCAGTCCATTTATTTTTTAAAGGTCAGTTTGTAATAGCGATAATACGACTGCATTGTAGGCTCTTGTTAATCACTTACCTTTTGCTTTGATTAGCTCATATGATGCTTTAAACATAACCATATGATATTATACTCTTATAGTGTGGGGAAACAGAAAAGGGGAGATTAAGTAGCTTGCCCAGGTCACATGACTTGTGAGTTTGAGAACCAAGATTTAGAACTACAACTCTTGACTTCAAAGTCCTCACTTTCAGTCATTATGCTCTCTTGCTTCTAAACATTTCTTTTAAAAGTTATTAAAAACATACATGTATAGGTGCTTTATTTTATATTATGAGGTATATTTTTATTAAAATATATTCTAAAACTTTTTTTATACATGTGTGATTATAAAAGAAATAAACATGTTGTGAGGAATTTAGACTAGAACTGCATTTTGTCAACCAGAGATAGCCCTTATTAGCATTTTAATATATTTCTTCCAGTCTTTACTATGCACTTATTTATTAATTCTATAAAAATATTTACTTTTTACATCCTGGAAATACTCTCATCTTTTACACATATCTTTTTTAATGTGTACATGTTATTTTTCGTTCAACAGAGGTGTTACATCATTTCATAAATACTTTTTGAGTGTCCACGATATGCCATGTAGGATGCTGTTTATTTATGGCACTTTTGTTTTGTCATTGATCATTAAGGGTTTTCCTTGATGTTTCTTCCTTCACCTCACATTCAGCATTGCGTATATACAGTTTTTGAAATTAGTTCTCAAGACCTCTGGAGAATTCTGTCTGTTATCCTGCCACTACCCTTGCTCAGATCACTTCCTTTTCTCTCAGCTGCAATTTTCTTATATGTCAAATGAACATACACAGCTCTGATAAGTAAAGTGTATTTTTTTTTAATATGGTGAGAGGGCTCATTATTTTGAGGAGTTCTTATAATGTTTCAGTAAACAGATACAATAGTTTTAGACTTTTATATTAGATATTAAATTCCCCTTTAAAGGGAAACAGATATATCAAACTCAGACGTGATTTTAAAAGTTTTTTCTTCCCATTCTCTTTCCATCAGTACTTGTATTTATACTTTACATTATTACACACATGTCAGTATGTAAAGAGTTGTGCCACCTTCTTCCAAGACAGTCTCTTGGTGACTTTCTGTTCTAAAACCTCCTCCCAAACCCCAAGAAGTGGCACTAGTCTTACCTTTTAGTAATGGAGTGATTTTTCAAGGCATTCTTTCCTCGTAAAGAGAAACCTGTCAGTTTAGTTGGAAAAGAAAATGTATTAATTAAATGTATGTATTTATGTATTAAACTGTTAAGCCAGCATGTTCACCTGGAAAGGAAAAAAATTGTATTTTGAAAATATGATGGAACCTCTCAATGTGTGGTTTATAATTTTTAAAAAACATATTTTTTATATTTTGTAGATATCCAACAAATAAGTGGATTAAGCTGGGTACTTTTCATGGTAGAGATGAGCGGAATGTACAGAGTTTCCCTTTAGATGAACAGATGTATGCAAAATATGTCAAGGTAATGTTTACACATACAGGACTATGTTCTATATTGAAAATATATGTGTTATTCACACTTTATACACCTCATCTTTTTAGAAATCAGAAAAATTAAGAAATAGACTATACTATACCACTTAATAGATAGTTCTTACTTGGGTGTATTATTTCATGAGTGAAATATTGCTACATTCCCTTTTGTATTGCTGGAAGCCTAGGCCAGCTTTTTGTTATTTATGGCTCTGATAAAATTCCAGATTATAACTATTTAAGTCTTTTGAGTCTTTATGCAAAATGTCATCTTCATAGTATATTTCTTTCTATTTTGAAACTGAAATCATTGCTGGTAAGTGAAGTCTTTAAAGCAGGTGTAATTTCTTATTAGACTCTGATTCTTAGATCATTTCATCTTTAATGTCCACTTACTTGGCATTGTTACAGCTTTTGTCTTTTTCGTTGTATAGCCAAATGAAATATTCTGTGTCCAAGTACCAGTTTCAAATAAAACAGACTTTTAAACACTGATGTTCTGTATTTCCACTGCTGCTTCTACCAGCTAATCAAGTAAAACTACCACTTTTGAATTGGGTTAGACAAAATAGGGAAAGTTCTTACTCCTTCCTTCCCTCTTTTTTTTTTTTCTTTAAAATTATAGCCATATCTTAAAGTACTATTGATTTAATGTTATGACATTTTTGGAATGGCCGCAGTTCTAATTTCTGTCCTTTCTTCTTTAAATGTGAGAACTTACAGCTACCTAATTTTGTCTTCTGTGATTTTACCATCTCTTTTTAAAGCATGTTTTAAATCGACTTCTGTTAATAGGTAAACTTGTAGTATTCTTAATCTCATTATAAAAATGCTAAATTCTATTTTTAAAATACAGTTGATATTCTCAGTTAATAATTCAATAAAATTATTAATTCAAAAAAATTAAGAATGTTTTCAATTCCTTTTAAAATGGGTGCTGAAACAATTAATGACTTTATACAGTACACTTTCTGCACTGCGAAGAAGCAAAAACGTTAAAAGTCATTTACTAGGTAACAAAATCTTATTTAATTTTGCAAGTAAGATAAATGAAATAATTTTAGAGAATTATTCTTTGTACCATTTACTTTGTTAATAATGGAAGGATATTTTATTGGAAACATAAAAAAAAGCCTTACAAAACTTTCCACTTTCTTCCTTTTGTGGTGGGAGATTATAGAGCATTTTAAATATTAGTTTTATAAGAAACCCTCTTTGGTAGAATTGAGTCTAAAAGCAAGAAACATTTACTTACAACTCATGAAAAGCAGGGAAAAATTACTTTCTGATTTTCATTTTATGGTAATAATGTTATATAAGTTTTTTACCTGGATTTTCCTTATCCTAAAAGAACTACACCCAAATCTACTACTTTTTAATAGTATACATTTGAAAGACCAATTGATATATATCTTCCACTTCTGTAAGTTGTACTTGAAATAACATAGCATACCAAAAATTCATGCTTTCCCTGAAATAAGTTATATATAATAGTATACAAGTATAAATACCATTTCATAATGGACTGTTATCAATATGTATATGTGTACAATATATATGTATATGTGCATATATATCAATAAATTCATATATGGATATATACTTGATACATGTCTGTAATACTTAAAGTAAAAGATTGTTTCTAGATACTGTTTATTAATTGCTTTTAGAATGCTTTCTATCTAACAGTTATATAAAATAACAGCAATGGCTTGCAGATCATTTAACTTATAACGTTTAAGTTAATTTATTTCATTGCAGTCATTTAGATTATACTCTTAGGTTGTGATGGCAAAAATTTAAATCATTGCTTTTATTTAAGGAATTAAGAATACTACAGTGTTATCCATCACATGACATTGCTTTCTATACTTTATACAACATAATTTACAAGTATTTAAAGTTGCTTATTGCATGATGTCTAGACTTTGGAACTGATTTCTTTTTCTTTTCCTTTCTCTTGCTTCAGATGTTCATCAAGTACATAAAGGTTAGCAACCTTCTCTTTTGCACTATTAAATAACAGGACATGGCATATTAATGCATTACAAAAACTTTACAATTATTGATTTTGGGGAAAATGAGGACTTTATAGAAATGTTTAGAAATGTTATAATGAAGAAAGTGAGTATATTGTTAGATGTTCTTACATGCTGTCTGCTGGCTTCCCATTTTATGTGCTTTTATTCTTTAGGTTGAGTTGGTATCACATTTTGGATCAGAGCACTTTTGTCCATTAAGCCTTATAAGGTAATGCAGAACAAAATACATTTATTGAGTGCTTTTAAAAAAATTGATAAACAAAATTTTCGATATATTTAAATTGAAGAAATAATTTTCTCTTACGTTAGTTAATACCATGGAAATAAAAACTGAAACTTTCTTTCTTTTGAATGCATTTTGGAAAAATGTCAAAATACCCTCTTTAAAAATTAACCTCGTTTTGTATATTTGTTTTAACTTGCTTGCTATTTTGCTATGATGATATTACACAGAAACAGACTGATATAAAAACTCATCCATTATATTTCTAAATGCCTTAAATAGATTAGTGTTACATTTTAATTGAAACCGTAGATGACTAAAATGTAAGGAACAGCCATTATTTTTAAGTCCAAAATCCAGTGGCCCTCAAAATATGACCAAAGTTGATGTTTGTCATATTGTGAAGAGATTAGTCTTAATGAGTGTTTTGTTTTGGAAGTCTTTAATGAAATTGTTGTTTATATAGGGTATTTGGCACTAGCATGGTGGAAGAATATGAAGAAATTGCTGATTCCCAGTATCACTCAGAACGCCAGGAACTATTTGATGAGGACTATGGTAAGTGACATCAAACAGATGACTGTCAGGTATATTTTTTTTTTACTTTTTAAAAATTGAATAGTAATGGGGGAGTATAGATTACTTAAATCAATATGACTGTTGTTTTCAGGCTTTTGTTTTGTTGCTTTTAGCTCTAATCAACTTTTACTTAAATCTGTTTTCTAATATGATTGCCTTGTAATCGTATTGCTTTCCAAGTTTATCAGTTATTTGTAACTGAAACTCCCTTCTATAATATTAATAGTATAAATTATGATTATATCCCTATGCCAGGGCCAAAAATCTGTTAAACTCACAAGATACTAAAATAGTAGAAATGAGCTTTAATTCCTTTGATTTCCCATGAGCCTAAGAGCAAGCACATTTTGGCCTCCTGTGAGCCATTGAGAAATCATGTGACTCTACAGAGGTGGAGGAAAGTTTTATGACATTCTCCATTTCCAATTTAAGTCCTTGTTTTAAGACGTCTTATACTATTGTTTGAACAATCTAAATTTTCTCAAGCGTGAAATGAAGACATTGACTAAGAGTTGGTAAAGTATATTGAAAACTTGAATAAAAAAGTCTTATAAATGTGGTTAAAATTCTGGTAAGCATTACAGTTATTTTCCTTGGTTTATATTGTTTGTTAAATGGTTTCTTAATCTTATGTGCTTTTTGTGAACATGTTTTAGATATATGATTCATATTTATTATAAAATGTTTTAAATGTTAGCTGACTTTGACAGGACAATAATTTGAGCTTTTAAATATGTTATCATTGGAGCTAGATCTCAGCATAATTACTTTTGTTTTCTTTTTAAACAGATTATCCACTGGATTATAATACTGGAGAGGATAAATCCTCAAAAAATCTTCTTGGTTCTGCTACAAGTGAGTATTTTGAGGATTTTCTCTTCAGTCTACTAAAGCATTTCTCAACTTTTTCATTCTGATACACATGGACATTTTGTCATGGTATGGTTGAGGAGACTTCTCCCAGTATTGAACTTTGAATTGAAATAAAAGATACTGACTTTTGAAAAGTATTTTTATAGAAATGCTATAAGAAAAATATATGAAAAGAAAGAGGAGAGAGACAAAAGCAAGCATAATAAAGGTGTTTCTTCTACTCTAATTAGGCACTCACATTTTGGGGCAAATTCCTTATAGTGAAGAAAGGGCTGTGGATTTTCTTGGGGGAAGAGTTATTAAAACAGCCATATAACAGTTAATCTATAAATATGGTTAGTTTGCCATTTAGTTACAAAATATAAAGGGTGCTCCTACCATGATAATAATGAATACCAATAAGAATACTAGTAATAATATACTCTTTGTACACTAAGAAGCAGTGAATAAGATATACTAGTGGTTTAGTTTGTTGTTATTCCAAAATATAATCCCAGCCTAGTGGTAGGCTCACTAAGGAGACTACTGAAAAGACCATTACCCAACTGGCACTTTATTTTTCATGGTTAGATTCTGTGTAGGTATATTTCAATGATGTTTTTGATTATTTCTGAAAAATGTAAAATTAACTAGAAGTAGTTTTCTTTTTATTTGAAAATTATTAATTTAATAAAAACAAATCTTAGTAAAATAGAAGACGAGTTGCTTGTGCTTGTCACTTTTTGCTGTTAGTGAATTGAATTACTTGAATTCCAATGTCAGTGTGAACATTGACTTTATAACTTTTTTAGATATTCAACCAGTAATCTAAATACTTAAGTTGATATTTTGTGTAGCCACAGTATATAGAGTTAAAATCACCTCTTTCATCTCTCTTTTTAGCCTTTTCTTTCTTGCTTGCTTGCTTGCTTCCTTCCCCCTCCATAGAAGAGTGAAGATTTCAGTGGACTTTCTAGGGAATGGGAAAAAGAGTGTTAAAAATACCTGTAGAAGGAAAATCTTTCGTGATTGCAAAGTAATATTCAACTTTGTTACATATCAGTTCAGTATATTTTGTTTTACTTTATTGCTAGGCTTCTGACTTTCTAGATATTAGTGATTACATTTAAATAGGATTCCTAGCTATCCAGTTATTGATGTAAAAGTAAGTCTCATTCACTGCTATGTGATGTAATTTTTTAGGAATAAAAGAAATGTCTTATCTGTCTGGATATTAATGTTTTTGTTTCCCTTAATTTGCATTCTGTATGTTACATAGTAGTCATTATTCTGTCATTTATGTAGCTCAGTAAGTTGAATTAGCTATTTTCTGGGGTCAGAAAATAGCCCCGGACTAAAAGATCTCTAGCTTCTGGTGGTTACTGGAAAAGAGAGGACACCTTAAGGAAATAATGTCTTACTGTAGTTTCAGATAAAGGAAAAGTGTGTTGACATTCTGGATTTTCTTGCTGTATCTTCCTATGTGGTTAACTTCTAGACGCCGTTAAAACCTAACCATAGGTCAGGCGCAGTGGCTTATGCTTGTAATGCCAGTACTTTGGGAGCCTGAGATGTGTGGATCACCGGAGGTCAGGAGTTTGAGACCAGCCGGGCCAACATGGTGAAACCCCATCTCTACTAGAAATGTAAAAATTAGCCAAGCATGGTGGCATGCGCCTGTAATCCTAGCTACTCGGGAGGCTGAGGCAAGAGAATTGCTTGAACCCAGGAGGCGAAGGTTGCAATGAGTTGAGATTGCACCACTGCACTCCAGCCTGGGAGACAGAGTGAGACTCTGTCTCAAAAAAAACCAAAAAAAACAAACAAAAAAACCAGTCATATATCAGGGGAAGACATTTCCCTGTTTCTATTCATGTCTTTGATCAGTATATCAATTAATTAGAGATAGAATCTTATTTAGATACTTCTGTTTGGATCTTTCTCCTTGAAGGTATATCAGTTAATTTTCCTTTTACAGAACTCTGGGAGGGCAAGATTATCTTCCAGTGTCCTAGGTATTGAAAGAATTTATACAGAGAAATAAGAAGGGTGGGAGGATGTCAGCTGAGTCTCTAAAATGAGATTTAAAATGATCTCCACCTCCTGAAGTTTTAGAACAAGAGAGGCAGTAAGAGCTGAGTGATAAGACTTTATTGTTACAAAACTTTATAGACATGGCCTAACACTGCCGCCTTCTGTATCTGTGTCCTTCTACTCTTCTCTGAAGAGTTTGGGACTGAATTAGCTATAGCCTCCAAGGTGGTATAACTTGAAGAGTAAATAATAAAGTGGAATCAGAACTTAAGTAGTTCTGATTCAAAGAACTGGTCTTTGGCACAAGGATGTCTGAGTTTGACTGTAATCATCACTGCTTTCTAAATTAGCTTGAAATTAGCCCATTTTGAAAGTAGTTTTTTTTCTTGTTTTTAATGTGTACATAGTATCCACAAGCTAGAATTCTTTGTTTTTAATCTTAATAGAAACTCCTTTTTCTTTTTGCTATCAAGTAGTTAGTAGTTACAGGAAATATGTCACCGGAATACTTTGCCACTGCTGAGAGTTGGATATCAAAGAGCATGCACACTGCATATTTAAACATTCTTGATATTATATAATTTCTTAACTGCTAAAAAGGGAGAAGCTGTTATCTTAAAGCAGCATTCTTGGCTTTGTGTGTATGCTTTCCTGATTCTTTTGTTTATATTCTTGAACTAAAACATTTAAATCTTTCACATCAACAAGATTTCTCCATATCACTCTTGATTTTCTTGTTCTTTTTCATGTGAATTTGCCAGACCTCTGCCTGCTTTGATATTGGCGCAGGTCTGCCTTTGCTCTTAAATATGTGTTTTTTGTTTCTGTTAAAATCACTATATCTGCTAAAGGGAGATAGGTGCATGTGTATGTTTAAGAGAAAATGTAGTTTTTACTTTTTAAGTCAAAGTGTTTTATTTTTGTGGAAAAAATGTAGATGCTAGAAGGACCATTTTCCTAGAAAATGTGGGCATGCTTCATAGGTAGTACACATAGGAAGAAGTCTTTTTTTGTTGATTTATCTTCTGTTGTATCATATAAACTCTTCAACTTCAGCAGCCTGGACAAATGTTTGTTTTCTTTATCAAAAAGAGCCATTGGAGCACTGAAAACTGAGTAAATAATATGGAGATATTTGATCTTTAGGACCAAATATTAGGAGCATTTTATTCCTAAAGGAATGAGGTGGGATGAATAAGTTGCCCAATTCAAAAATTTAAAAGTTGACAAATCCAGGAGAAATTAGGGACTTTTATCTCTAGTTTGGCAATTATATTCAAAGATGTTATTTTAGTCTATTCTGAAGGTTTTTAATGGCCAGATAATCATGACGTATACAGACTATCATGTGTTTGTATACAAATTGAACATAGAATAGAATATTCACAATTCTGCTTTCTCTCAAAAAAGATACATTAGGCAATGTTCTGCAAACATGGAGAAATTATTTTAGGTTAAGTGGACTGAGAAGAAATTTGCTGCATTTTACTTTTGTTACCAGGTTTCCTGAAATGATGATAATAAATAATATTTTAAAAGGGTGAATAGAAGGGTCTTCTTTATTGTAGGTACTGGTGTTAAAATTTAGGTTCAGAAATAATACTGTAAAGCTGCTTTCGTTACACAGATACATTGTCTTCTTGAATTATTTAATAATGAATGTCAAAAAATTTGAAATCTCAGATAAGATCTCACTTTGAAACACAAAGTATATAAACTGTTGGTTGCACAATTTGAGGTTTGTGAAGCAGTCAGTTTTGACTGTAGGTGGCAGTGTAGGTGAGGGATCATAAATAATATTGCAGTATTGGTTGGCATTATAAAGGGTGTATGAGGAAATAAGTTTCCATTCCAGACTTCATCTTGGTTTGTGAGGGAATATGGAGTTTCCATTTTTGTTATTTCATACTGCAGCATCTCTTTAGCTTAAGTAAGAATCAAGGCCACTTCTGTTTATCAGTTTGCCAGGTCAAAGGACAATATTAAAAATGTTATTTAAGCATTTTAAAATGGCAAATATCGAACCTTTGTGTGTTATACTAATGATTAGAAACAAAGTACCACTACTTTGTTGACTTTCAGAGTATACACTTATAATTTTGTGAAGATCAACATTATAGCTGATTCCTAGCTATCACTTTAAAACAGTTTAAAATCTGCAACTACTTTCTCCCATCCTAAAGCATTGTATTTACAGGATGAGCTCCAGGCAGCACTCTGTGGTTTACTTGCAACCTTCCTAATGTAGTAGATTTTTCTCTCTTAGATCCTTTTCTACTTTTCACATCTCTGGTTTTCATTGAAAAAGTGATGAATACTCTGTGGATCGCTTTTAGGAAAGGAGATTAAGACAGAAATAATGTATGATGATTAATATGTAGCCCCTGCCAGATCTTAGTATTTTAGTAGTAGGAGTACCCGATACCAAAGAATTAAATTCTAGTGGAATTTCAAAGGTTAGATTGGGAATGAAAAGTTAATTTCACTTGAAATTACATCACATTACTGGAAGGAAGGTCTTCTATTCCCAGTACCAGTGTTTTATGGAGTTCTGATATTTTGTTATGCTCATGTATAAATATATCTATGTAGTTATTGAGGTTTGTACCACTTTTTCATGTAAATACCCTCCTCCAAAAGAGAAGTAGGGTTAGCAGGTATGCAGATTGCTTTTTTACAACACTTTGCTTTATGACCTTGACTTTTCATTAATCTGCCCCATCCCTGTCCCCAACCAATTAACTAAAGAATTTGTATGCTTTGTGATTTAAAAAGATTGCAGTTTTGGCCAATGAGTTTTTTAAAGTCATCAAAGAGATTTGATTATATGCAATATCAATTTAGAATTTAACCATATTACCATAGATATGATAGGCTAATCGTTGAAAATATTTTCCGCTTTTTTCGGATAATCTCTGTTTTGTTTTACCTGTGATAATCACGTAATGTAGGAAAAGCGTTTGCTTTTTTATTTTAAACTGTAGAGAATTTTTAAAGAAAAATGGGTTTTTCCGTAAAATAAGAATTTTGATCATCACATTTTCTCACTGTCCCGGTACAGACTGTATGTTGAGTTATACTTGAATTTATAATATGCTGAAGACAGTGTTTTGGTAAAGTGTCTAGGGTAGTTTTACAAGAAAAGTATATTTAAGGCCAGGCGCAGTGGCTCACAGCTGTAATCCTAGCACTTTGAGAGGCTGAGGTGGGCAGATTTCCTGAGCTCGGGAATTCGAGACCAGCCTGAGCAACACAGTGAAACCCTGTCTCTACTAAAATGCAAAATATTAGCTGGGCGTGGTGGCATGTGCCTGTAGTCCCAGCTACTCGGGAGGCTGAGGCAGGGGAATTGCTTGAACCTGGGAGGCAGAGGTTGCAGTGAGTCGAGATTGCTCCATTGTACTCCAGCCTGGGCGACAGAGCGAGACTCCGTCTTCAAAAAGAAAACTGTATTTAAATATAAAATTCCTTTTGAACATAAAAATTTAGATACATGCTTTACACTTTTGGCTAAAATTTATTTGTGTCCTATATTGGACTTTAGTTGTGAGGTGAATACAAAAGTAACCAGTCAAAAAATGCAAAAGATCATTCTAAATGATTTTTTGACTATCTGATATTAATTTATATTAGAATATTTAGGTATTTGGTATTTTTTCTGATTGAATTTTGTTTTAGATGCCATTCTAAATATGGTGAATATTGCTGCTAATATTCTGGGAGCAAAAACTGAAGACCTGACAGAAGGTACCTAATCATTTTATGAGTCTTTTAAATAGCTGGTACTCCAGGGGTCCTTATGTTTAGGAAAATCAAGTAATGAGTTAAGAAAATTTGATTTTTTACGTTTAGAAATATAGAAATAATTCAGAGGAACTTACCAATCTTTATTATTCATTGTTTATTTGAATTTCACATGTTCTTTTTTATAAAAGGATACTGTCTATATAAAACTTACGAATTTGCTTTTTGACTTCTGGCTCTAATATTAATAGCAATGATTTTATTCCTTATATCTTTGCTGAGATTTTGACATCCTAATGGCACTTCAAGTATATTTTTCTTTCATGTGTTAAATAGCTACTTGATTTTACAAAGCCATCTTTTCCTTAGAGAGTGGCAAATAAGAATATTATTGGCAAGAAGAAACAGTCTTGCCTTTTTGTTTTTTAAAAAATGCTTAGATCCAAGTGAACATTTAAAAAATGACTCATTTATTTCTTCTCATTCTCTTCAACAACTCTTTCAGTATCTAGAAGGCATATTAATCACATAAGATTACACAACATTCATAGTCATCTGACTTGATTTAATTATCTGAGAAATTGAGAAACAATATATATTACTTGTCGTGATCTTATATGATCATTTCTTCCTAAAAGAACTTTGATTTTTTAAGAAAAGTCTGCAGTAGCAAACCAATTGGCTTTTTTCTTTTCTTCCAAGAAATTTATTTGTTTTAGTAAAATATTTTCATGGTACAGCTTTTAAAATTGAACTCAACATTGGGCATCTTTCTTAAAATAGGAAATAAAAGTATATCTGAGAATGCCACTGCCACAGCTGCACCTAAAATGCCTGAATCAACTCCTGTTTCAACTCCTGTTCCATCTCCTGCGTAAGTTATAATGTGATATTAAATAGAATTTTATTGCAATGCAGGGTTAAGTATATTAGTATAAAAAAAGGAACTTGTGATTTGTGTATGAAATGATTACCTGTAGAGAGCTCTGAATCATAGGATAGACATTCTGTGGCCACTTAGAAAATCTTTGACTTGCTTCTTCCCATTAGTGTACATGCATATTGGGAATATAATTCAGATCAAACTTTTTTTTTGAGGGGGTATTATATATAACTTTCATTATTCACAACAGTGACTCTTCTCCATATTGCAAATAGTTGACCTTACTCTGCAAGTATAGGCTTGAAGACAAATTTTAAAGCCCCCCCTTTTTTTTTTTAATTAAGTTCAAGTTTAAAAGCGTTGATCTGTGGTATCCCTAGAAACTACCAAAATACGTAGAGCAGTGGTTCTTGAGTAATGTGTTTGCCACACAGCAAGCTCTTAACTGTTTCATTTCTCTGAATCATGTAGGCCTTTCCCCAGGTTGCAGTGGGGACACTTTGGGCAGGGATATAGCTAAATAGGTAATAGATATAATATATACTCATTTTTTGTCTTTTTGCCAGAGGTGGTTACTTTTTTGGTACCTCTACTTCTTATCTATAATAAATAATAAGCTTATAATGATTTGGATAATCAGGTAGTTATTGTAGACTTAATTTATATATATTTCATTAGATACACTCCCTACACAACTTTGCAAGTCCTTTATCTTAGAACAACTCTACTTAAGAGTATAAGATATTTGAATATGAACCGCTTAGTTCAAGATAGTATGTAATGAGACCTGCAGTGGGTATGCTTTGAACTGCAATTCCTGAGAACTATACTCTTTCAAAAATGAGATTTTGATGCTTTGAAAGGCATAGTGAGAAAATTATATTATCCTGTGTTAATCCTGAAAATTACTGGAGATATTTATTGGGTGATTAGAGAGAAAATATAGCATATGTGTTATTGATTCCTAAAAGGACCTAAGAAATCTGTTGAGGATAGAGACATTCTTGGTGTTTCTAATTATGTGGAGCTGTGATTGCTGTTCCTGATTTGGTAACTAGGTTTCCTCAGTTAACAACACACTATGTCATATTTTTCAAAACGAAATAAAACTACTTTGGTTATATATATATGTATACATTTTAATACACATACATATATGCACAAGTAGATAGGAATATTTGTTGAAAGCTATAGTCACAGGCCAATGTAGCAGTTTTTATTTTTCCATATTTTTAATAGATAATCTTTCCATAATTTTTTATTCAATATTTCTTCATTTTGTCTTAAATTCTTTTTAATGCTTTTGAAGCAATCTTTTGAAGCAAATGCATGAAAATGAAGGAATCCATGATAGGATGTCACTGTTAAAGTTATGGAAAGCCAACTTATTTTCTTTTCCTAGGTTTTAGTAAGATTTGCCATGTGAATTTGAGAAAAAAATTTTAAAGTATATTTCTAATTACAGTGTATAATGATGGTATATAACATCTATATTCAGTATTTTTTACCAAATTCAATTTAATTTTTCTCTCCCCTTCTTCAAACATTACTTCTTTTTACTGTCATAAATTATTTGGTAGAAAAGCAATATATTACTTGAATATGTAAGAAATATTATTAGAGACTAAATATATATGGCTATAAATATCCCAAAGTGTAGTCTAATTATGTTTTAATTTGGTCCATTTACTGTTTTACTGCCAAAATGAAAGTCTACCTCATAGATACTGTCTATTTTATTACTTTCTTCTGTCTTTGCTATTTTGACATTCGTGTTTATTTGAAGACATTTCCTGGCATGCTTAGTAATTTTTCAGAATGGGAAAATGTGTGTTTAAGCATAATTATTTTTGGTATTTAAATTACCATATTTTTTCATATTGGACCTTTTGTGTATAAGGCTACACCCAGTAATTAACTATCTTTATCTTGGAAGGAATCACAGGCATTATAATTTATAACACTGTCCCCATAAGCTTCATCCCCCCACTCTCCTGTATGCCACATACATACTCCACAGCCTCAAAATGGGATAGAATATTAATAGTGGTGCTAGTAGTTTAATAGCAGCACTATTAGCATATCATAAGCCAGAATTATTATTAAAGTGGTTAAGTATTTGGCTTTTAATAATAGAAGATTAGCCTAGATGATAGCAAAATTATTTTAAGAAGGGAGATATGTTTCTTGTCCTTAAAGCAGATAATCCTATGTGTGTAGGGGTGTGTGTGTGTGTGTGTGTGTGTGTGTGTGTGTGTGTGTGTGTTTAATGCTGCATTGGAGTTCCTCAAATCATTCTTAGAAAAATTATGTTTGAGAAATCTAGCTGCCTTTTGAAAATACGATATTCAAGTACAAAGTGCACTCATAAGTATTAAGAATCCTAGATTTTAGTTCTAGCTCTGGACCTTGTTTAAACTAGCTTATTAAGCTAGCTCTTAGTTGACTTACTTTCTGATGTATGAGGGATAGTGAAGCTTGTAAAGATTCAGTGAATATTTGTGAGAGGAAAGGTACACTATACATTCAGTGAATGGAAGTATTCACTTAGAAACAATTCTTAAACAGATTAAAAGAAAGCAAGTTTGATATGGTAAATATGGTGGTTTGAGTCGTCTGGCTAGTCACTTGATTGTAGTATTTCTGTTATTTCTGAGCAGTATTTGTTTTTATAATAAAAATGTTTTGAAGGTGGAAAATTTGTCCAAAAACAACTTATATTTCTTCTGTATTTCCAACCTTTAGTCTTATGTATGGATACATTTATTTTTCTTAAACATATTTCAACTTTAGACTTCTAAGTAAGTGATTTATAATTATGTATGTATTTCTAGGTATGTAACCACTGAAGTAGACACAAATGACATGGAGCTGTCAACACCAGATACTCCAAAAGAGAGTCCCATTGTACAATTAGTTCAAGAGGAGGAAGAGGAGGCAAGTCCATCTACAGTGACGCTTCTGGGCAGCGGTGAACAGGAAGATGAATCATCACCCTGGTTTGAGTCAGAGACACAAATATTTTGCAGTGAACTGACCACAATTTGTTGTATTTCTAGTTTTTCGGAATACATATATAAATGGTGTTCAGTTAGAGTTGCTCTTTATTGGCAGCGCAGCAGAACTGCTTTGAGTAAAGGAAAAGATTATCTTGTGTCAGCTCAACCACCCTTACTACCTGCAGAATCAGTAGATATTTCGGTATTGCAACCTCTGAGTGGAGAATTGGAAAATAAGAATATAGAAAGGGAAGCTGAAACTGTTGTTCTTGGTGATTTAAGTAGTAGTATGCACCAAGATGACTTGGTGAATCACACTGTAGATGCAGTTGAACTTGAACCAAGCCATTCTCAAACTCTTTCTCAGTCTCTTCTTTTAGATATTACCCCAGAAATCAATCCCTTGCCTAAAATAGAAGTATCTGAATCTGTTGAATATGAGGCAGGACATATAACGTCACAAGTGATTCCCCAAGAGAGTTCTGTTGAGATTGATAATGAAGCAGAACAGAAGTCTGAGAGCTTTAGTTCTATTGAGAAACCATCTGTTACCTATGAAACAAATAAAGTTAATGAGGTAGTGGATAATATTATAAAAGAAGATGTGAACTCCATGCAAATTTTCACAAAGCTGTCTGAAACAATAGTGCCACCAATAAATACAGCCACTGTACCCGACAATGAAGATGGGGAAGCCAAAATGAATGTAGCTGACACAGCAAAGCAAACTTTGATTTCTGTTGTGGATTCTTCTTCATTACCTGAAGTAAAAGAAGAAGAGCAGTCTCCAGAAGATGCCCTTTTGAGAGGGTTACAGAGGACAGCTACAGATTTTTATGCTGAATTGCAAAATTCTACAGATCTAGGATATGCTAATGGAAATCTTGTACATGGATCAAACCAAAAGGAGTCAGTATTTATGAGACTTAATAATCGTATTAAAGCCTTAGAAGTTAACATGTCTCTCAGTGGTCGCTATCTGGAGGAGCTTAGCCAAAGGTAAGCTTTATTATGAATTAGCACAGTCAGCTTCACACAGTGAGTTAAGTAGCGTAGAGTATGTATGACCTGTGATTACAGAAGGAGAGGATTTAATTATCTCATGGTGTAATAGAAGTAAGCACAATTTTAGTGAGAGAGAAAGAAAGCTACTTGAATGCTGATCAGTGACTTAATGAATTTTTTGTTTTTAATTTTAAAAGTACTTCCCAGTGACAAGACCACTTTTATTATTAGGCTGACAACAAGTTTGAATTATCTATACTCACTTTCACCTTTTTTCTGTTACTTAACTTTAGCCACTTTTTCTGCCTGATTCCCAGAGAGCTCGTGGAAAAAATGATAGTATGTAGAGACTTTAAAGGTTTTAGTGGAATTTAACCAGATATCGCTTAAGAGTTTAGATAAGTGAAGACATGGATGGACTGAACTGGATGACTGGGCACATTTGCAGTTTGCCCTCTTTTAAACAGGTCCCGGCATCCTAGTTCTAGTTGTAATAATTTCTGCTTTTAAGTGCCAGAGAGAGTGCCAGTTCATTAAGACACCAGGCGTGGCTTTTTAAAACTGTTTACTCTTTTTTTATCCTTTGTGTGTTCATTGTCTGTCCTTAGGGCTTCTCTACCAACATTTTACAAACATCTAGGCACAAGTGTCCAGAGTTCCTGAAACACCACCTTTTCTTACACCTCTGAAATTGAAATGCCACTAATAAGGTGTCACCAAGGCAGTCTTATATCTGAAGTAGGAAATTTTTCTAATCCATACATAGAATTAATTGGCTAATCGTGTGTGTGTGTTCATATGTGACATGCCCACTTAGCTACCCCATACCTGCTCTTACTTTTTCCTACCTCCATCTTCATCCCAAGGAAACTACAGAAATTACTAAATTTTACATAGCAAGAGATACATAGAATTGTATTGCATAGGCCTGAATAAGAGTCACTTTAAGAAAAATAGGTTTCTCTCATATATCAAAATCAGAAGTATGTTTCCATTACTAAGTGGAATAAATAAGAAATTAAAGCTAATTTAAACCAATTCTTACTCCATAGGTACCGAAAACAAATGGAAGAAATGCAAAAGGCTTTCAATAAAACAATTGTAAAACTTCAGAATACTTCAAGAATAGCAGAGGAGCAGGTTAGTCGTCTTCATCCCTTACTTACTTTTTATATAAATTTCCACTGAATTCTATAGGATCTCACTGGTAAAGGATAAGTATTGTAGTTTCACTTTTTCCCCCTGCTAGCTGGTGTTTAAGCCTGTTATATTAATATGATGTCATGTTTGGAAAGTTACATAGCTATTAGCATCATTGTCTTCTCTAGAGAAAGCTTTCTTATTTATTTTTTTTTAATTATACTTTTAAGTTCTAGGGTACATGTGCACAACGTGCAAGTTTGTTACATATGTATACATGTGCCATGTTGGTGTGCTGCACACATTAACTCATCATTTACCTTAGGTTTATCTCCTGATGCTGTCCCTCCCTGCTTTCCCCACCCCATGACAGGCCCCAGTGTGTGATGTTCCCCACCCTGTGTCCAAATGTTCTCATTGTTCAGTTCCCACCTATGAGTGAGAACATGCGGTGTTTGGTTTTCCGTCCTTGTGATAGTTTGCTCAGAATGATGGTTTCCAGCTTTATGCATGCCCCTGCAAAGGACATGAACTCATCCTTTTTTATGACTGTGTAGTACTCCATGTATGCCACGTTTTCTTAATCCAGTCTCATTGGTGGACATTTGGGTTGGTTCCACGTCTTTGCTATTGTGAATAGTGCCGCAATAAACATACGTGTGCATGTGTCTTTATAGCAGCATGATTTATAATCCTTTGGGTATATACCCAGTGATGGGATGGCTAGATCAAATGGTATTTCTAGTTCTAGATCCTTGAGGAATCACCACACTGTCTTCCACAATGGTTGAACTACTTTACACTCCCACCAACGGTGTAAAAGTGTTCCTATTTCTCCACATCCTCTCCAGCACCTGTTGTTTCCTGACTTTTTAATAATCGCCATTCTAACTGGTGTGAGATGGTATCTCATTGTGGTTTTGATTTGCATTTCTCTGATGGCCAGTGATGATGAGCATTTTTTCATGTGTCTGTTGGCTGCAAAAATGTCTTCTTTTGAGAAGGGTCTGTTCATATCCTTTGCCTCCTTTTTGATGGGGTTGTTTGCTTTTTTCTTGTAAATTTAAGTTATTTGTAGGTTCTGGATATTAGCCCTTTGTCAGATGGGTAGATTGTGAAAATTTTCTCCCATTCTGTAGGTTTCCTGTTCACTCTGATGGTAGTTTCTTTTGCTGTGCAGAAGCTCTTTAGTTTAATTAGATCCCATTTATTTTGGCTTTTGTTGCCATTGCTTTTGGTGTTTTAGTCATGAAGTCCTTGCCCATGCCTATGTCCTGAATGGTATTGCCTAGGTTTTCTTCTAGGGTTTTTATGGTTTTAGGTCTAACATTTAAGTCTTTAATCCATCTTGAATTAAATTTTGTATAGGGTGTAAGGAAGGGATCCAGTTTCAGCTTTCTACATATGGCTAGCCAGTTTTGCCAGCACCATTTATTAGATAGAGAATCCTTTTCCCATTTCTTGTTTTTGTCAGGTTTGTCAAAGATCAGATGGTTGTAGATGTGTGGTATTATTTCTGAGGGCTCTGTTCTGTTCCACTGGTTTGTATCTCTGTTTTGGTACCAGTACCCTGCTGTTTTGGTTACTGTAGCCATGTAGTATAGTTTGAAGTCAGGTAGTGTGATGTCTCCAGCTTTGTTCTTTTGGCTTAGGATTGTCTTGGCAATGCGGGCTCCTTTTTGGTTCCATATGAACTTTAAAGTAGTTTTTTCCAGTTCTGTGAAGAAAGTCATTGGTACCTTGAGGGGGATGGCATTGAATCTATAAATTATCTTGGGCAGTATGGCCATTTTCATGATACTGATTCTTCCTATCCCTGAGCATGGAATGTTCTTCCATTTGTTGTGTCCTCTTATTTCGTTGAGCAGTTGTTTGTAGTTCTCCTTGAAGAGGTCCTTCACATCCCTTGTAAGTTGGATTCCTAGCTTTTTTATTCTCTTTGAAGCAATTGTGAATGGGAGTTCACTCATGATTTGGCTCTCTGTTTGTCTATTATTGGTGTATAGGAATGCTTGTGATTTTTGCACATTGATTTTGTATCCTGAGACTTTGCTGAAGTTGCATCAGTTTAAGGAGATTTGGGCTGAGACAATGGGGTTTTCTAAACATATAGTCATATCATCTGCAAACAGGGACAATTTGACTTCCTCTTTTTCTAATTGAATACCTTTTATTTCTTTCTCCTGCCTGATTGCCCTGGCCAGAACTTCCAATACTGTGTTGAATAGGAGTGGTGAGAGAGGGCATCCCTGTCTTGTGCCAGTTTTCAAAGGGAGTGCTTCCAGTTTTTGCCTGTTCAGTATGATATTGGCTGTGGGTTTGTCATAAATAGCTCTTATTATTTTGAGATACGTTCCATCAATACCTAGTTTATTGAGAGTTTTTAGCATGAAGGGCTGTTGAATTTTGTCAAAGGCCTTTTCTGCATCTATTGAGATAATCATGTGGTTTTTGTCTTTGGTTCTGTTTATATGATGGATTATGTTTATTGATTTGTGTGTGTTGAACCAGCCTTGCATCCCAGGGATGAAGCCCACTTGGTCGTGGTGGATAAGCTTTGTGATGTGCTGCTGGATTCGATTTGCCAGTATTGAGGATTTTCGCATTGATGTTTATCAGGAATATTGATCTGAAATTCTCTTTTTTGGTTGTGTCTCTGCCAGGCTTTGGTATCAGGATGATGCTGGCCTCATAAAATGAGTTAGGGAGGATTCCCTCTTTTTCTATTGATTGGAATAGTTTCAGAAGGAATGGTACCAGCTCCTCTTTGTACCTCTGGTATAATTCAGCTGTGAATTCCTCTGGTCCTGGACATTCGTGGCTGGTAGGCTATTAATTATTGCCTCAATTTCAGAGCCTGCTATTGGTCTATTCAGGGATTCAGCTTCTTCCTGGTTTAGTCTTGGGAGGTCTTGGGAGGGCATATGTGTCCAGAAATTTATCCATTTCTTCTAGATTTTCTGGTTTATTTGCATAGAGGTGTTTAAAGTATTCTCTGGTGGTAGTTTGTATTTCTGTGGGAGTGGTGGTGATAACTCCTACATCTTTTTTTATTGTGTCTATTTGATTCTTCTCTCTTTTCTTCTTTGTTAGTCTTGCGAGTTGTCTATCAATTTTGTTGATCTTTTCAAAAAACTAGCTCCTGCATTCATTGATTTTTTTGAAGGGTTTTTTGTGTCTCTGTCTCCTGCAGTTCTGCTCTGATCTTAGTTACTATTTCTTGCCTTTTGCTAGCTTTTGACTGTGTTTGCTCTTGCTTCTCTAGTTCTTTTAGTTGTGATGTTAGGGTGTCAATTTTGGATCTTTCCTGCTTTCTCTTGTGGGCATTTAGTGCTATAAATTTCCCTCCACACATTGCTTTAAATGTGTCCCTGAGATTCTAGTATGTTGTGTCTTTGTTCTCATTGGTTTCAAAGAACATCTTTATTTCTGCCTTCATTTTGTTATGTACCCAGTAGTCATTCAGGAGCAGGTTGTTCAGTTTGCATGTAGTTGAGTGGTTTTGCGTGAGTTTCTTAACCCTGAGTTCTAGTTTGATTGCCCTGTGGTCCGAGGGACAGTTTGTTATAATTTCTGTTCTTTTACATTTGCTGAGGAGTGCTTTACTTCCAACTATGTGGTCAATTTTGGAATAAGTGTGATGTGGTGCTGAGAAGAATGTATATTCTGTTGATTTGGGGTGGAGAGTTCTGTAGATGTCTATTAGGTCCACTTGGTGCAGAGCTGAGTTCAAGTCCTGGATGTCCTTCTTAACTTTTTGTCTTATTGATCTGTCCATTATTGACAGTGGGGTGTTAAAGTCTCCCATTATTATTGTATGGGAGTCTAAGTCTCTTTGTAGATCTCTAAGGACTTGCTTTATGAATCTGGGTGCTCCTGTATTGGGTGCATATATATTTAGGATAGTTGGCTCTTCTTGTTGAATTGATCCCTTTACCATTATGTAATGGCCTTCTTTGTCTCTTTTCATCTTTGTTGGTTTAAAGTCTGTTTTATCAGAGACTAGGATTGCAATGCCTGCTCTTTTTTTTTTTAGTTTTCCATTTGCTTGGTAGATCTTCTTCCATCCTTTTATTTTGAGCCTATGTGTGTCTCTGCACATGAGATGGGTCTCCTGAGTATAGCACACTGATGGGTCTTCACTATCCAATTTGCCAGTCTGTGTCTTTTAATTGGAACATTTAGCCCATTTACATTTGAAGTTAATATTGTTATATATGAATTTGATCCTGTCATAATGATGTTAGCTGGTTATGTTGCTCATTAGTTCATGCAGTTTCTTCCTGACATTGATGGTCTTTACAATTTGGCATGTTTTGCAGCGGCTGGTACTGGTTGTTCCTTTCCATGTTTAATGCTTCCTTCAGGAGCTCTTGTAAGGCAGGCCTGGGTGGTGACAAAATCTCTCAGCATTTGCTTGTCTGTAAAGGATTTTATTTCTCCTTCACTTACGAAGCTTAGTTTGGCTGGATATTAAATTCTGGGTTGAACATTGTTTTCTTTATATTGGCCCCCACTTTCTTCTGGCTTGTAGAGTTTCTGCCGAGAGATCCGCTGGTAGTCTGATGGGCTTCCCTTTGTGGGTACCCGACCTTTTTCTCTGGCTGCCCTGAACGTTTTTTCCTTCATTTCAACTTTGATGAATCTGACAGTTAGTGTCTTGGAGTTACTCTTCTCAAGGAGTATCTTTATGACGTTCTCTGTATTTGAATGTTGGCCTGCCTTGCTAGGTTGGGGAAGTTCTCCTGGATAATATCCTGAAGAGTGTTCTAGCTTGGTTCCATTCTCCCTGTCACTTTTAGGTACACCAATCAGATGTAGATTTGGTCTTTTCACATAGTCCCATATTTCTTGGAGTCTTTGTTCGTTTGTTTTTACCCTTTTTTCTCTAAACTTCTCTTCTCGCTTCATTTCATTTATTTGATCTTCAATCACTGGTACCCTTTCTTCCACTTGATCAAATTGGCTACTAAGCTTGTGCAAGCATCACATAGTTCTCGTGCCATGGTTTTCAGCTCTATGAGGTCATGTAAAGTCTTCTCTATGCGTTTATTCTAGTTACCCATTCGTCTAATCTTTTTTCAACATTTTTAGCTTCTTTGCGATGGGTTCGAACATCCTCCTGTAACTCAGAGAAGTTTGTTATTACTGATTGTCTGAAGCCTACTTCTGTGAACTTGTCAAAGTCATTCTCTGTCCAGCTTTGTTCCGTTGCTGGTGATGAGCTGTGTTCTTTGGAGAAGAGATGCTCTGATTTTTAACATTTTCAGCCTTTCTGCTCTGGTTTCTCCCCATCTTTGTGGTTTTATCTGCCTTTGGTCTTTGATGTTGGTGACATACAAATGAGGTTTTGGTGTGGATGTCCTTTCTGTGTGTTAGTTTTCCCTTTAACAGTCAGTACCCTCAACTGCAGGTCTGTTGGAGTTTGCTGGAGGTCCACTCCAGACCGTGTTTGCCAGGGTATCACCAGCAGAGGCTGCAGAACAGCAAATATTGTAGAACAGCAAATGTTGCTGCCTGATCCTTTCTCTGGAAGCTTTGTCTCAGAGGGGCACCCAGCTATAGGAGGTATCAGTCGACCCCTACTGGGAGGTAGGTCTCCCAGTTAGGCTACACGGGGGTCAGGAACCTCCTTGAGGAGGCGCAGTCTGTCCGTTCTCAGATCTCAAACTCCGTGCTGGGAGAACCACTACTCTCTTCAAAGCTGTCAGACAGGGACATTCAAGTCTGCAGAAGTTTCTGCTGCCTTTTGTTCAGCTATGCCCTGCCCCCAGAGGTGGAGTCTCCAGAGGCAGGCAGGCATCCTTGAGCTGTGGTGGGCTCCACCCAGTTCAAACTTCCCAGCCACTTTGTTTACCTACTCAAGCCTCAGCAGTGGCGGACACCCCTCCCCCAGCCTCGCTACTGCCTTGCAGTTTGATCTCAGACTGCTGTGCTAGCAATGAGCAAAGCTCTCTGGGCATGGGACCCTCCGAGCCAGGCACAGGATGTAATCTCCTGGTGTGCCGTTTGCTAAGACCATTGGAAAAGCACAGTATTTGGGTGGGAGTGTCACGATTTTCCAGGTTCCATCTGGCACAGCTTCCCTTGGCTAGGAAAGGGAATTCCCCAACCCCTTGTGCTTCCTGGGTGAGGTGATGCCCTGCCCTGCTTCAGCTCACACTCTGTGGGCTATACCCACTGTCCAACAAGCCCCAGTGAAATGAACCTGGTACCTCTCTTGGAAATGCAGAAATCACCTGTCTTCTGCCTCGCTGATGCTGGGAGCTGTAGACGAGCTTTCCTATTCGGCCATCTTGGAACCTTCTGAGGAAGTTTTCTTGAGCATTATTCATAGTACATTGTGTGTGTGTGTTAGGTAGAAATGCAGAGGACTTTCCTGCAACTTTGTTAAACTCTAAAATTTTGTGTGTGTGTGCATTTTTTTTTAATGTAGATAATCTTATTGACTGCAAGTAAGAACAGCTTTGTTTCGTTTCTTCTTTTTGATTGTCATACCTTTTTATTTTTTTTCCCTATCTCTTGGCTAGAGCTATATAGTGGTGCAATAGGACTGGTAATTATGACCATTCCCCTATCTTGTTGATTTTAAGGGAACTATTTCAATATTGCACCTCTAGTGTGATATGTGTGTTATCACATAATAAAGAAATTTTATACTTTTTTAAAAGGTTATTTGGGACTAGGGGATGGTGAAGTGAGGAGGCCTTATACTGCAGAGTTTTGTTAGGTGCATCTTACTCTTCTATTCATGGCACATTATAAATTGGAGATACGCTTTGCAAATATTTTCTCCCAATCCATTACTTGTTTTCTTATTCTCTTTACAGTGTGGTTTGAAGAGCAGAAGCTTTTGATTTGTTGAAGCCCAATATATCAGTTTTCTTCTTGCTTTATGAATCTTTGCCTAATGCAAAATTACAAAGATTTTTTCCTTTGTTTTTTCTAGAAGCTTAATAGTTTTAGTTTTATATTAGGCCCATGATTCATTTTGAGTTAACTTTTGTGTGTTACAGGGTATGGATCAAAGTTCTTTTTGGAAAGTCAGGGTCAGAAGAGCAAAGCATATAGACATCCATTTGTTCTAGAATCATTTGTTGGAATGAGTGTCCTTCCTCCACAGAATTTCCTTTGTACATTTGATAAAAATCAGTTAACCATATATATGTGGGTCTGTTTCTGGGCTTTTGTTCTATTGATCTGTTTGTCTATCTTTAAGGTAATAACACAATGTTATGTTTGTTGTAGCTTCATATTAACATTTTAAGTCAGGTAATGTTAAGTCCTCCAATTTTATTATTTTACAAGATTGTTTTGGCTGTAGTAGTTTTTTGCATTTCTGTATGGATTTCGGGCTCAGCTTGTTAATCTCTACCAAAAAAAATTGAATCTTGATTGGGATTGTGTTGATGAATTTATAGATTAATTTGCATAATTGTCATCTTAATATTAAGACTTCTGACTCATGAACATAGTGTTTTATTTAGCTTTCATTAGTTTGAATACGAATGCCCCCTCCTGTGTATTTTCTCTTTGTTGATATGTAACATCAATGTCTTGTGTCTCAAAGACTTACTTAAGTACTTTTCAACAAAGTTGCATATTAATAGTATTGGAAGTTAATCCTGATTAGAAGTGTTAAACAACATATTAACTTTAATAGCTTGTCCTTTAAATGTTTATAAATGTCTTGAATTTATCAGAGTCAAAGGTAAGTCAGGATTCAAAAGAAACAATTTAAAAAGTCACATTTAGCATTTCGGAAAGATGAGGCAGGATAGAAAGTACCATAGTGGATCACAGTAAGGGAAGTAAGTGAAATCTTTTGCTGTAGTTTTATACACTCTCTCCACACACAGGTACACAGCTGAGACTTAAAACTTTTTTGAATCAAAATATGAAAAACTTAGGTCTAGAATAATAGTTATGTAGATATTTCATATAGGGTCCTAAAAGAGTTTTATATTTCCTTGACTTCTTCCTGCCCTCATTTCCTCCTCCCTAACTTTATTAATAAGTTCAAATTTTCAGTTTATGTCTCCCTAATACAGAGTCATAACTATGAATGTGATGTATAATTCCCTAAAGTATGCATGCCAATTATATTATAAACAAGACATCTTTGTTGATTATAAAAGTTTCTAAAATTCAGTGCTGCCTAAAACAAATGGAAAGATAGGCATTTTTGATGCATTTCTTTCATCGGTGATATTTTAGCATTGGTTAGATGAACAATTACAGATATTTCACTGTGTCCCATCCTAAGTTCCAACATAATATGCTATGAAAGAAATTTTTAAAACTTGGTTTTGAGCCTACTTTATAACCAAAAACATTCTTCAGAAAATTTTCAATTTGTCTTTGTGCCAACTGCTTTGCTTTAAAAACACTAAGTGACTTTTTAAATATTTCTGGTTATATGCTGGTTTATTTATAGAACCCATGTTAATTTGAAAAGTAATTTACCAACTTCTGTTTTACAGTATTTTACATTGTAGCAGTGAGTGGCAAAATAAATAAATAAATAAATAATAATTCTTGTTGGGGAGGGTTAGACACAGTCTCAGATACTTCAAGTGTTTTATTTCTAAAATTTCAAAGTTTACTTACTCATTGAGATTCCTATTAATACATTTGTTTTGAAATAACTTAATGGGGTTTTTTTAGATTATTTTATTTCAATTTTTAACGTTAATAGTTTGTAGTTAATATTCAAAGAAAAATAAATTCCTTTATTGTAGGATCAGCGGCAAACTGAAGCCATCCAGTTGCTACAGGCACAGCTGACCAACATGACACAGCTTGTTTCAAATTTATCAGCAACAGTAGCAGAATTGAAACGGGAGGTAATTGTTACTGCTGGTATTATGAGACCCAGTGCATGTATAGAGATTGTCATAAAGTCAGGCTTGTTAACATGAACATAGTACCTAAAACTTTGACCAAACAAAATTGTAATTTGTAGTGAACTTTTTAAAAAACCAGAATATGGAAGTTTTAAGTTTTGGAAATACATTATCATAGTCTTTTGTAAAATATGGCTTTCATAATTTAGGCCATACCTATAATATAGGTATCAAACTTCTAGCAGGCCTTTTGTAAACATTGATAGTAGCAACACGTACTTCATTTTCAGTTCAAAACGGCTTTTAAAGTTGCTTAACAAAGCAAAAATTTCATTGATTTAAAAACTTTTTATTGAGCATCTAGCATATGTGAAGTGTGAGCTGTACACACCTAGGTTGTGCCATACGGTAGGTAATAGTCCCTGGCCTCACAGGGTTTACGTCCTGGGGGAGGGATAGAATACATATAGTAAATAAATAAATAGATGATAATTTCTCCTAGTGATACATACTGTGAAGAAAATTAAATATGTGTGTGTGTAGGGTGGTGGCAGTAAGGGATGCTACTTTAGAGTGATCTTGGAGAGCTTATCTCAGGAGGTGGTATTACAACTAAGTACTCAAGAGGAGTTAGCAGCCGCACATTGCCTGGAATGATAACAAACCTGTTTATAGCAGAACTAGGGCAAAGGACTGGAGAGTAGAAACAGTGTAATGTGTTTGAGAGCAGAAAGAAAGCTGATATGACTGGAGCGGAGTAAGTGAGAGAAGTGAAGCTAAGAAATGGGTTCAAGATATTGGCAGAGGCCTTGTCATGTAGGACTTTGTAGACAATTTAGAGTTTGAATTTTATTTGAATCATTGATTGTATCATTGGAAAGTATTAAGAAGTGATATGGATCATGTCATTAATGCTTAGCACTTTGAGAAACTCTCCATTTGTTGCTCTGTGGAGAATTGCCTGTTGGGGAACAGCAGGAGCAGAAGCAGACAGGAAATCAATTAAGAGGTAATTGCAGGCCAGGCATGATGGCTTTCGCCTGTAATCCCAGCACTTTAGGAGGTCCAGGCAGTCAGATCACTCGCGGTCAGGAGTTGGAGACCAGCCTGGCCAACGTGATGAAACACCGTCTCTACTAAAAATACAAGAAAATTAGCCGGTGTGGTGGCATGTGCCTGTAATCCCAGCAACTTGGGAGGCCAAGGCAGGAGAATCGCTTGAACCCGGGAGGTAGAGGTTGCAGTAAGCCAAGGTCACACCACTGCATTCCAGCCTGGGCAACAGAGCAAGGCTCTGTCTCAAAAAAAAAAAAGTAATTGCAGTAACCTGGATGAGATGGTGTTGATTTACAGTAGGATTTTAAAAGTTGAGAATAGTGTAAACTTACTGAATTCAGAATATTTTTAAGTTGTAGAAAGATAAGCCTTGAGGAATTAAGGTTGATCTCCAAGTTGTGGGCTTAAATAACTGGGTGGTTGATAGTTCATTTTTATAAGATGGGAAAGACTGGGTAAAAAGCACAATTATTTTTTCTCCCTAAGGAGGAGATAGTGTAAATGGAAAGACAGACCAAATGTGACGAAATGTTAACAATTGGTGAGATGGATAAAGGTGTAAATATATTTATTGTTTTATTTCTAAAACTTTTCCATAGGTTTCACTCCTATAGAAAGAATTGGAATGCTGCAAAGAATTTTTTTAAAATGTCATAGTTTATTTTCAAAGAGCATGCCCTGCATTTCTGGTCTTTGAAGCACATTTAAAAAAAATACTTAAAATGGCCTGGGGGCGGTGGCTCAAGCCTGTAATCCCAGCACTTTGGGAGGCCGAGGCGGGTGGATCACGAGGTCAGGAGATCAAAACCATCCTGGCTAACACGGTGAAACCCCGTCTCTACTAAAAAAAAATACAAAAAATTAGCTGGGCGTGGTAGCGGGCAGTGGTAGTCCCAGCTACTCGGAAGGCTGAGGCAGGAGAATGGCGTGAACCTGGGAGGCAGAACTTGCAGCGAGCCGGAGATCGCGCCACTGCACTCCAGCCTGGGCGACAGAGCGAGACTCTGTCTCATAAAAAAATATATATGTATATACTTAAAATGATTGGTCCTTTGAATTTTAGATACCCTTATATTTTTCCTAATATGATTTCCTATGATTATTATTTAACCCTCTTCTTATCTCAGGTTTCAGATCGACAAAGCTATCTTGTCATATCTTTGGTTCTTTGTGTTGTCTTGGGACTGATGCTTTGTATGCAGCGTTGTCGAAACACTTCTCAATTTGATGGAGATTATATTTCAAAACTTCCTAAAAGTAATCAGTATCCGAGCCCTAAAAGGTAATATCAGCATTATATTTCACAATTTTATTTTTTTACTATGCTTTATATATTTTTGAGAAGTTTTAAGCAAATAAAGGGAGACAGGTAATTTCTTTCCCTATATGATTATCTTGAAACCAAAACATTAAAAACATCATTGGATAGTAAGATGGTCCTGTGCCTAACCTGGCTCTGTAGACTATAATAGAGAAAACACTAATAGTAAGTGCATGAAACCCTTGAAATATTTGGTTGAGAAAGATGCTCAAATGTGGAATTCAAAGGAAGAAGAGAATACATATTTTAATACAATGCCTTTTAGACAAAGATCTTTAAAATTTTTTTTCACCTGTATTAGCAATAACTGGAGTGTTAGAGTTAGTCCTGTGCGGTATGCACAGTTCTCAATAACCTCTGTGTAGCCTCAACAAAAGAGTAAATTATAAGTACTTTACTCTTTGTAACCAATATGTATTTTTCTTAATGTGTTAGGTGCTTCTCTTCCTACGATGACATGAATTTGAAAAGAAGAACTTCATTCCCGCTCATGAGATCCAAGTCTCTACAGTTAACTGGCAAAGAAGGTAGATTTTTGTGGATATATAATATGTATATATAAACATGAAACTAGCTTCTGGTATAAATACAATGTCAGTGTTGTGTTCATGACCATCTGCAACAAAAAATGGATACAAGTAGCCTTTGTCTTTGTGCTGTGTCAAAGCCACTTTATCATTTTCACATTTTATATTTGTCTTTGTTCCTAAAAGCCCAGAGGGTAGGGAGGGGGGCTTAGCTTAATTAGCAGTTGGTAGCTTTGTTTGCACATGCTCCTGTTTAGAAGTATTTCTTTTTAGAAAGGGATGTTTGAGAAAGTTCAACAGATATGGAAAACCTGAATGTGCTCCCATAGCATCCTGTGCTTTTCTGCCTTCTCTTCTTATACAGGTAGGACCCCTTTTGTCTCTAGTTTAGGACTATGAGGCACTTTCTGAACAAAAATCTGATCTCTTTTTTTAGCCCCAGAACCTATAATTAGGTTCCATTGTCTAATGCTAAATAAATACTTACATTTAAATGACTGGATGTGTACTGAATGGATATTTTCCTATTTCAGTATCTTGTAGTTAATGCTTATTAAGAGAATTAGGAATTTGTTGTCATACTAATATTAAAATAACTAAATTACATATTTAGGAGTGCTTTCTTAATCATTGGTTGTAGGATTTAGTAACTGAGTGGCATGTTTCAATTGATTAAATTATTCAAGTAATCATTCCTGGGCTTCACTGGTTTATTATTATCACAAAGTTTTACAGACTTAACCCATTACATGTGTGTTTACTTAAGGCTAGTAAATCTCTTCTTCCTTCTTGCTTTTTTCTTTTTCTTTTGGTTGACATGTCTTTTTATAAGTGAAATTTTTAATTTAAGTATTACATACAAGAAAGTATAATTATATGTGAAACTTAATGAATTTTCACAAACTGAATACAGCCAAATTAAGCTAATAATTAAGCTAATAAGCTTATTAAGCTAATAAGGTGCAAATAACACCTAAATTAAGAAGTAGAACATTAGCACCTCAAAAACTTACTTGTGTTCTTTTAGTCACTGCCCATCCTTTCCCAAAATAGCCAGTATTTTGATGTCTAACCATTGTGATATTCACCATGCCATTGACTATAGTCATTTGTTTAGTTTTTTTCCTTACAGTACTCCATTATATACATATACTATACATCATTCATTTACATTTAGATTATTTTCATTTTGAGGTTGTTACATACTTTTGGTAAACACCTGTGCATTTCTGTTAGGTATACACTGGAAATGGGATTGGTGGATCATAGGATATGTGTGTGTTCAGTTTTAGTAAATACTGTCATACAGTTTTCCACACTGTTTTATGAATTTGCCCTTCTATCAGCTGCATATGAGACTTACAGTTACTCCATATTCTAAGACATTCCTTATTTGAGGTGTACCCGTGCAATTAGAAAATACATTAGATTTTTACTTCTCAGCATTTCTAGTCTTGAGTGAAATCATGACTATCTTACAATTTCTCTTCTCTTTATCCAATTTTTTAGGGCCAAACAGATTAGCTTTTTGCACCTGATAATAGAATTACTTCTATTTTAAACAACAGTGTCATCTTGGTGTATCTTTACCAGTAAAGAAAGTTGAGTAGAGTACGTAGGAGACTGACTTTAGTCCTGATTCTACCAGTAGTTAATTCATTTATTTCTTCTATTGTTGGATAAGTTTTCTTGTTATGGCACTTATCATAGTATGCTTTGATTTTACCTATTTTTACTTGTCTTATTTTACCTCTAAGCTCTGTGGGAGAGACCATGTCTTTTTCTTATTGTGATAAAAATCACATAAAATTTATCATTTTAACAATTTTTAAGTGCACAGTTCATTAAGTATATTTACATTGTTTTGAAACAGATCTTCAGAATGCTTTTGTCTTGCAAACCTTAACTGTGTCCTTTAACCAATTCCCCTTTTCTCCTTTCCTCAGTTCCTGGCAACCACTATTCTATTTTCTGTTTCTGTGAATCCAGCTACTTCAGATACCCCACATAAGTGAACTCATACAGTATTTTTCTTTCTGTGATTGGCTTGTTTCACTCAACATAATGTCCTCAAGGTTCATCTATATTATAGCATGTGATAGAATTTTTTTCCTCTTAAAGGGTGAATAATATTCAATCTGTGGTATTTATATACCTCATTTCCTTTATCCATTCATCTGTAAGTGGACATTTGGATTGCTTCCCCTCTTGGCTGTTGTGTGAGTAGTGCTGTTCAGGGGTATACAAATATTTCTTTGCCCATTTTTTAGTTGGATTGTTTGATTTTTTTGTTTTTAAGTTCAGGGAATTCTTTATAACCTCCATTCTGGATTATAACCCTCATTAGATAATATGATTTGCGAATATTTTCTTTCATCCTTTATTTTGCTTTTTCACTGTTTGAATTGTGTCCTTGAATGTACAATTTTTAAGTCTGATGAAGTCCCGTTTGTCTATTGTGTTTTTGTTGTCTGTACTTTGGGGTCATATCCAAGAAATCGTCAAGTTCAAGGTCATGAAGCTTTTCCCCTATGTTTTCTTCTAAGACTTTTATAGATTTAGGTCTTTAATCTATTTTATATTAATTTTTGTATATAGTATAAGGGTCCAGTTTCATTCTTTTGAATGTGAATATTCCGTTTTTCCAGCACCATTTGTTGAAGAGACTGTCCTTTTCCCATTGAGTGTTCTTAGCACCCTTCTTAAAAATGAGTTGACCATGTACATCAGGGCTTATCTCTGGGTTCTTTATTTTGTGCTATTGGTGTATTTGTGTTTATGCCAGTACTCTACCACGTTGATTACTATACCTTTGTAATGTGTTTTGAAATCTGGAAGTGTGAGTTATCTAACTTCTTTCTTTTTAAAATTCTTTTCCTTATTTGAGGTCGCTTAAGATTTTACGTGAATTTTAGGGTGAACTTTCTATATAAGCAATGTCGTTTTACTAGTTCACTTGCAGATTATTTTGGATTTTCAGTGAATACAGGTACACATACTGAGAACAAAGACAGTTTTGTTTTTTCCTTTGCAGTCCTTATAGCTTTTATTTCCTTTGCTTTCTTAACTGTGTTATCTTGCATTTTCAGCAGTGTTAAATAAAAGTAATTGATAGGCATCTTTGTCTTGATCCAAAGGGAAAGCTTACCGTGTTTTACTGCTAAGATTGTATTTGTCATAGATGTTTTGTGGATTTTTTATTATGTATTTTGTCATTATGTGTTACCTATTGTCATAGGTATTTTGTAGATTTTTTATATTAGATTTTATTTCCATTTTTTATGTTACAAACATGAGTTATATTCAGTTTTCTAATGTTAAACTTATATTGCATTTTAAATACCAGTTGGTCATGATATATATGTGTGTGAATTTTGTATTGTATGTATTATTTCCACATAATTTTGTTAGATAATTATTTAGGAATTTTGCACCTATATGAATAAGATTGGCATGTAATATTTTCTCATGTTGGATTTTGGTATGTAAGGGTTATAAAAATTAGATGGGCAGGGGTATCCCTTTTTATTTTTCTTTTTTTTCCCCTTCCATGCATTCATTAAGATTTTTTACTTGGGGGGAAGTAAATATTCCCTTTTACTGCCATTATGTTGGAAGTTGTGTACTGGTTCTGTTCTTTTACTGGTTACCCTAGAAGTCACAAGCATTAATGTTTGCCAAAGTCTCAAGTTCATCAATACTTGTATCTTCTCCTGAACAATACATAGATCTTTTTTTTATTTTTTTATTTTTTTATTTTTTGGGACAGAGTCTCTCTCTGTCGCCCAGGCTGGAGTGCAGTGGCGCGATCTCGGCTCACTGCAAGTTCTGCTTCCTGGGTTCATGCCATTCTTCTGCCTCAGCCTCCCGAGTAGCTGGGACTACAGGTGCCCACCACCTCGCCCGCCTAACTTTTGTATTTTTAGTAGAGACGGGGTTTCATGTCTTATAGTTAGCCAGGATGGTCTCGATCTCCTGACCTCGTGATCCACCCTCCTCGGCCTCCCAAAGTGTTGAGATTACAGGCCTGAGCCACTGCACCCGGCCTACATAGATCTTAAAACTCTTATTTGTCCCAAGTCTTATTTGTGTTACTGTTCTTGTATATTTTAATTCTATTTTTTCTGCTTAATTTTAACTCAACAAGGTATTTCTTTTTACACTTAATGTTCATTTAAATTTACCACGTTTACTAATTTTTTATTCTTGAGAGCTTTCATTTGTCATTAGTTAAAACAAATGTTCTCCTTTTTCTTTATCATTTTGACATTCGTGAGGCTCTTTGAAGCTCTGGATTGGTAGGTTTCTTTTATTGGTATTGAGAAATTTTCAACCATTATTTTTTCCTCCCAGATATTCCCTGTGCTCCAGTCTCTTTTAGATTCTCATATTTAATTTATTACTTCTCTGTGTATCTTCCCTGTCTTGTAAACATTCCACCTTTTTGACTTTTTGTGCTGTATTTTGGATGATATCTTCTGATATGCTTCCAGGCTAGCAGTCTTACTGTTACTAAGTTTATTTGTTGGTTTTTCAATTTCAGTTATTTTTTCCATTTCCAGGAGTTCTTTTTGTATTTTTTTAAAATCCAGGTCTGTATTTTCCTTGTTATTTGTTTCCTGCAGATATTTTCAAGCTTATTTTCTAGACATATTAAGCATAATTGTCTTTATAGTTTGTGTTTGATAAATCTAGTATCTTAAATTTTTGTGAATCTGTTCATTGTCTTTGTAAGCTCTTACTCAAGGTGCGTTGTGTCTTTGTGTGCTACTTTTTCTCTTTGAAAAATTATTTGTAGTGATATTTGAGGCCTAGAATATAGGTTCTTATTTGAGAGGGAATTTGTGTGTTTTACATTAGTGTAATACCTTACATTCATGACTTGAGGTTTGTTGGGCCACCAGGTGATGATAATTTGTACTGCAAGTTCATGCATGGTTTCATTCTTTCCCTGAGCGTATAATCCTTTGGAGTCTCAGTTTGCTGTACACAGGAAGATGGTATCTTATGACACTAAACTTTGGGTGGGCCCTAGAACCTGATTTCTGATCCATTCCCTTATGATACCATGAGAACCAAAGTTCATATATTCTTGTGTTGGCAAAAGTTTTCAGAGCAAAAATGACTTTTGTCTTCCACTTGATTGTCTGGGTTCCCACTTTTCTTTCAGTTTTAGCCTAGGGATTACTTTCTTGGCAGCTTTTCAATGCTTTTAGTGATTTTTTTTTAAGAAAACAAACTATCATTACCTAGTTGCTTTCATTGTAGAGGTTGATCTGAATAACATAGCCGTTTCTAAAAATATACATCATTTTTAAAGAAAGTAAATTAAGATTAGTAATCTGATAGAAATGACTGTTTAGAGGGATGTTTTGATATTTTCATATATTTGATGACTTTCTCAAATCTCTGAAAGATAATGTAAAAAATTACAGTTGGTTGAATTGTATTAATAAATTTCCCAAATGGGAAGCTTTTATAGTGAATTTGCTATGTGTAAGCTTTTGTCTGTGTCAGACCTTAAATTGTTTATTTTTAGTGGATTGAATAGGATTAAAGTCTCATAGCCTCTCTTTAAAAAATATGTGTCTATTTTGTCAGTATGGGGGTGGGGTAGGGATATATCTTGAATCTGCTTAGAGTAATGAAACCTTAGAAACTTTGGGCTAAAACTAATAAATCTAATTTATTCACTATGCCAGAAGTGTTTATTCATTATTGCTTAGTAATATATATTGCACGTTCAAGCTGTTTTTAGATTTGGATTTCATAGTTTTGATCATAGTAATAAACAGAGAAAAATATCTTGGATATCTTTTTGTGTTTATTTCTCTAACTGGCTTCTAAACACGGTCACAACTACTTGTTGCACATTGTTAATCTACCTTTGTGACACAGTTTAGAGGCTAGTCCTTCAGGGAAATATTCAGATGATCTGCAGGTTTGGTGTTCGCTTACCCAGGAATGTTTCTTTTCTTACCAGGTAAAAGTAGGGCTAGGCCCAAAGAAAGATCCTTATTCGGCCGGGCGCGGTGGCTCAAGCTTGTAATCCCAGCACTTTGGGAGGCCGAGGCGGGTGGATCACGAGGTCAGGAGATCGAGACTATCCTGGCTAACATGGTGAAACCCCGTCTCTACTAAAAATACAAAAAACTAGCCGGGCGTGGTGGCGGGCGCCTGTAGTCTCAGCTACTTGGGAGGCTGAGGCGGGAGAATGGCGTGAACCTGGGAGGCAGAGCTTGCAGTGAGCCGAGATCACGCCACTGCGCTCCAGCCTGGGAGACACAGCGAGACTCCGTCTCAAAAAAAAAAAAAAAAAGAAAGAAAGATCCTTATTGTATTGGTTGATGATAACCAGCTACTAGTTAACAACTTAAGGAAGTATAGTTATTTGAAGATAACCAGTCAAGTATAGGAATCGTATCATCTTCCACCTTGCCTCTTTTTGCTTACTAATTTAAAATACATAAATATATAGTTAACCTGATATAAATTAATTGGTTCTATTACTAGAGGATAATAAGGAATGATTTTTCTTATTTCAGTATGTAATTATAGCAAATCCACCAAATCCACTTTACATTTTACATCTGCTTTTTTTTCACTTACAGTAGACCCAAATGATCTGTACATTGTAGAACCCCTCAAGTTTTCTCCAGAAAAGAAGGTAATTGTTTATTTCTTTTTAAGTTTATTGCTATATTTTGTGATCATAAATGAAGAAAAGAGGTTGAAAGGTTCAAGGTATAATTACCTTTAAGTAGTCTTTAATTGAATGTGTATTTTCTATCATGGTAATGGTATAAATAAATATTTACAGGGGTCAGCAAGCTGTGACCCACAGGTCATATGTAGTCTATTTTATATGGGCCATGAGCCAGATAGATTTTCTCATTTTTAAAGAGTGATAAAATAAAACAGAACAGCATGCAAGAGAGAAAATATGTGACCTGCGAAGTCTAAAATATTTACTGTCTGACCCTTTACAAAAAACATTTGTTGATCCTTGGATGATTATCATTATTTATTACCAAATGCATGCCAAGCACAAAGCATACACCATTTCTCTAAATCCTCACAACCTGAAGATGATGTTATCCTCTTTTTTTTTTTTTTTAATGAAAAAACAGCAACTCGGAATGTACTTAGGATATTTTGGCTTCAAAGTCTTTGCTTTTTCATTTTGCCTTTCAAATTAAGTTATACTAATTTTAATTAGTAGTAATTTTATCTAGGTGAAAGAACTTGGGCTTTGTAGGAAAATAGCCTAAGATTCCTTCTCAACCTGGCTACTTACTACATTGTAACTTGGGCAAGGAACCAAACATCTGAACCTTGCTTTTCTCATTTAAGAATCAAGGGTAAAATACCAACCTTTCAGGGTTAATAACTGCCATAATACATGAAAGCAAACTATGCTATCTGGCAGTTAGTAGGTATTCAGATATTAGTATCATTCCCTAAACCTATATTCATAGGTAGCAGGTAAGCAATTTAAAGAGTTTTGATTCAGTAGTATTTACAAATTGGGAAGGTGATGGTAGTATCTACATAGAACATAACAAGGTATGTGTTCTGTGCTGTTTATAATACTGTTTTACTTTTCACCAGGAGGTGGCACTTCTCTATTTGCTCAGCTCTCTAGGTGTTTGATAAGGTTACTATGGGAAGTATAATTACTAACTTTTCTTTTACTTGTGTTATAGAAGAAGCGCTGCAAGTACAAAATTGAAAAAATTGAGACCATAAAGCCTGCAGAACCATTGCACCCCATAGCCAATGGAGACATAAAAGGAAGAAAGCCCTTTACGAACCAGAGAGATTTTTCTAATATAGGAGAAGTTTATCACTCTTCTTATAAAGGTCCTCCATCTGAAGGAAGCTCAGAAACTTCATCACAGTCAGAAGAGTCCTATTTTTGTGGCATTTCAGCTTGCACAAGTCTGTGCAATGGACAGTCTCAAAAGACAAAAACTGAGAAGAGGGCTTTAAAACGAAGGCGATCTAAAGTTCAAGACCAAGGAAAATTGATAAAAACTCTAATACAGACTAAGTCGGGATCATTGCCGAGCCTGCATGACATAATCAAAGGAAACAAAGAGATCACCGTGGGAACATTTGGTGTTACAGCAGTCTCGGGACATATCTAAAATTAATTGAACTTTTCATACTGAAGACTTTTTTGTTGTTCTTTGGAGAACAGTCTGTGGTATTTGAAGGGTTTGGGGAGGGAGAAAATATTAATGGGAAAGGCATTCAGAAATTATGGTTTCTGCCTTTTTAAAAAGTAGATGGGATTGTGTCAATCTTGGTTAATGAGCTACAGTTTTACAAAGCTGATCACTTCCTATAAGGACAATGGTAGACATTTTATAAAGATGTTTTTTCACAAGATTAATTACTGGGACAAAAGTAATTTGGAAGCCCAGTTCCTTAGGTGGGATAGGAATGAAAGCCTAAACCTCTTCCTTTAGCTTTGTTCCTATTTCTTGCACCTTCCCATATTTATGTGCCTTTTGTCTATTTATAATGCCACTGGAAGAGGAGGGAGAACTTTTTCTGTTATTTGATTTCTTTTATAACTGTGTTAGGTTTTTGAAGCTACAAACACTACAAGGCTTGGAGGGGTCTGTGCCTGAAGCTCAGCAGTGTGGGTCAGACAGTCTAAAGATCCTAAAGACTTGCCAACTGGATCTTTGTTTAGCAAACTCACTGGAAATGAACACTTAATGGAATTTTTAAGTCTGTTCTTTTAGGTAGATGGTGATGCTCTTGTTATTTTCACTTATTCAGACTGGATTACTTCTTACTTAGTTACTAACTCAATGAGGAAAATAAAAACCCCTACAGGATCTTTTTTTGCAAACAACTGATATATGCAAACAAATTTTTGACAAATTCACCTTTTAAACACACTTAACCATTTGTGAAGGTTTTCTTTAGCTTACATTTTAAACATACACAATAAACACTAATCCTCCAAACTTTCACTGTTTTTATTAGTACGAATATAAAATTTGAAGGTTTGGCCAATTAGTACAAGTCTCATGATATAATCACTGCCTGCGTACATATGCACAGATCCAGTTAATGAGTTTGTCAAGCTTCATCTAATTGGTTAAGTCTAAAGGGATTATTATTCCTTGATGTTTGCTTTGTATTGGCTACAAATGTGCAGAGGTAATACGTACGTGATGTCAGTGTCTCTTTTTTTTTTTTTTGTCTTTAAAAAACAATTGGCAGCAACTGTATTTGAATACAATGATTTCTTAGTGTGATTGTACAGTAATGAATGAAAGTGGAACATGTTTCTTTTTGAAAGGGAGAGAATTGACCATTTTGTGTTGTGATGTTTAAGTTATAACTTATTGAGCACTTTTAGTAATAACTGTTTTTAAACTTGTCTAATACCTTTCTTGGGTATTGTTTGTAATGTGACTTATTTAAAGCCTTTTTTGTTTGTTTAAGTTGCTGCTTTAGGTTAACAGCGTGTTTTAGAAGATTTAAATTTCTTTCCTGTCTGCACAATTAGTCATTCAGAGCAAGAGGGCCTGATTTTATAGAAGCCCCTTGAAAAGAGGTCCAGATGAGAGCAGAGGTAGAGTGAGAAATTATGTGGTCTGTGTGTTGTGGAAAGAAAATTTTCAATATGTAACTACGGAGCTGTAGTGCCATTAGAAACTGTGAATTTCCAAATAAATCTGAACACTTGTCTTTATTAATTACTGGCTCTTCTGTCTTTTAAAAGAGAAGTCAGAAATTATTAATCTTTGAACAGAGATTTAAGTTTTTGCCACTTTTAAAACTAAATATAGCAACATTCCATTCAATATTGATCACATTTCAGCCAACTACAAAATGATTATACATTTACATAAACATTTTGCTCCCTATACTATCAAAATTTCACTTTAACTGTTTCATGTCTAAATACAGCATAACATTTTGCAACTTGAGGTTTATTTTTTCCTCTCCCACATTATAACTACATGAGAAAAAAACTTAAGAAGTGAAAATAGTAGTAGTTTTGTGCCTATTAAGAAGCAAAAACTATATAGATATTTATCCAATGGGATTTTAATGTTCTCTGATGATCAACCTCATTTTATTTCTTCTAATGTTAAGTAAAGCATTAAAACAGTATGAAATAAGAGGAAACTAGGGGATTGGTAAGAACAAGGATGCAAAGTAAAACTATTAATTGAATTTTTAAAAGCATTAAAGTTGTGGCTCACGCCTATAATCCTAACACTTTGGGAGGCCGAGGCAGGCAGATCATTTGAGGACAGGAGTTTGAGACCAGCCTGACCAACATGGTGAAAACCCGTATCTACTAAAAAAAAAAAAAAATTAGCCAGGCATGGTTGTGCATGCCTGTAGTCCCAGCTACTTAGGAGGCTAAGGCAGGAGAATTGCTTGAACCTAGGAGGCAGACGTTGCAGTGAGCTGACATTGCACCCCTGCACGCCAGCCTCGGTGACAGAGTGAGACTGTCTCAAAAAAAAAAAAAAAAAAAAGTTATGCATACATATAATTTGAGAAATTAGTTTTATAAGGCTTATAATGTAAGAACAGAAAACAGTATTCTGTACCATTTCACACACACACACTACCAGCACCACCTACCTTTCTCCATCAAAGATTTCTTGCTTCACAGCAGCAACCATTTTTGATTCTGTCTCTCCAGTTATTGTGCTTCCCTTACCTTGCTGCTTATTTTTTGATTTTTAGATGTGTCCTCAGTTTGAATATATAAACTTGTAGGCATGAACATAAAATATATATAAACTTATACTTGTTAATGTAATTGGATAAGTCTATTCAAAATCACACAACAGGTCAACTTAGAAATACTGCTTCAACTGATTGATTTCAAATCCGTAGATAAGTTGAACACCATGTACCTTTGCCCAGATTCACTAGTTGCTAATATTTTTAGTTTTCTTTATGTGTTTTATATGTATATATGTATTATACATATACATGTATATATAAAGATATGTATGTTATGTGTATATATATAAAAACACATTTTTTTGGTGAGCCATTTGAAAGCAAGTTGGGACATTATGACCCTTTCCCCCTAAACTGTAGCATATTTTTTCCTAAACTAAGGACATTTCACTTACGTGACCATAATACCTGTATCATATGTAAGAAAATTAATAACTCCATAATATCTAATACACAGTTTATAGTCAGATTTCTCAGTTGCCCTGATTTGTTTATTTTGGTCCAGGGTCCATTCAAGGTTCATTTGGTTGTATTGTCTACTTAGTGTCTTAAAAAAATAGACTACTTCCTGACTACATATTGTCCTTGTACAAGGGCCATACTTACTTTCTCTGAATCATCCTGGTTTTAGTGGATGAGCTGCCCAAGTGAGCAGGAAGAGCTTTTTTGAGTGATGTGTTAATGTTGTCACTGAAATTTTATCCCAACCCATGAGTATTTATAATTAACACATGCTTAAAAATATCCTGTTGGAGCAATAACCTCTGCATTACACTCCACTTAATCTATTACTTTAAAAATTAATCTTTCAGGCTGGTTGTGGTGGCTCATGCCTATAATCCCAGCATTTGGGGAGGCCAAGGCAGGTGGATCATTTGAGGTTAGGAGTTCGAGACCAGCCTGGCCAACATGGTGAAACCCCATCTGTACTAAAAATAGAAAAATTAGCCAAGTGTGGTGGCACGCACCTGTAGTCCCAGCTACTTGGGAGGCTGAGGTGGGAGAATCCCTTGAACCCAGGAGGCGGAGGTTGCAGTGATCTGAGATTGCACCACTGCACTCCAGCCTGGGTAACAGAGCGAGACTCCATCTCGGAAAAAAAAAAAAAGGTTAATCTTTCAAATACTTGCTTACAACAGAGTTTATTCCTGCTATTTTGAAGTCATATAGCCTGGGCTACCAAATCTGTTTCATATTTTTCAACAGATCACCAAATGCTAAAACCCAAACAAATGCCTTATAACACTTGTAAAGACTTTTGAGCAAACATAAATACTGATTTTTTAAAAAAGTGAATAAAGAGCAAGTTTTAATCCCAAGATAGTTTAAAATAGCCAGCTCCCCACGGAAATGGCATATTACACAGTTTACGAGCGGGTGCTGACTGGGCTCAGTGGCTCATATTTGTAATCCCAGTATGTTGGGAAGCCAAGATGGGAGGATCACTTGAGGCCAGGAGTTCAAGACTAACCTAGACAACGTATCAAGACCCCATCTCCACAAAAAGTTTTTAAAAAATAAGCTGGGCATGGTTGGGCGTGGTGGCTCATGCCTGTAATCCCAGCATTTGGGAGACCAAAGTGGGTGGATCACAAGGTCAGGAGTTTTGAGACCAGCCTGGCCAACATGGGGAAACTCCATCTCTAATAAAAAATACAAAAATTAGCCAGGCATGATGGCATGCACCTGTAATCCCAGCTACTCGGGAGGCTGAGGCAGGAGAATTGCTTGAACCCGGGAGGTGGAGGTTGCAGTGAGCCAAGATCATGCCACTGCACTCCAGCCTGGGCGACAGAGCGAGAGACTCTGTCTCTAAATAAATAAATAAAAGCTGGGCATGGTGAGCGACAGAGTGAGACTCTGTCTCTAAATAAATAAATAAATAAATAAATAAAAGCTGGGTATGGTGGTCCATGCCTGTAGTCCTAGCTACTCAGGAGGTTGAAGCAGGAGGACCACTTGAGCCCAGGAGTTTGAGGTTGCCGTGAGCTATGATTGTACCACTGCACTCCAGCCTAGGCAACAGAATGAGGCCCTGTCTCAAAAATAAAAGCAAATGCTTTAAAGTCGGACTGCCTGTTTTCATATTAGTTATCCACCTCTTCCTGGGTATGGCATTGGACAAACCACAGTCTTATTAAACATGAGCTTTCTCACCTGTAAATGAAGATAACAGCACCTATTTCAAAGGATTGCTTTGAGAATCAAGAGTGCTAATAACTATCATGTCCCTGGCATAGTACACACTAAACATTAGCCATCAGTTTTCAGATGCTCAGGGTTCTGATCCTTGGTTTCTGTACATCTACCAGCAGGGGTCAAGAAAGGAGCTCATTATGCTTGGTGTAAGACTTCCATCATCTCCAGCCTCTCTCCATTATCAACACCATTTGAAAGGTCAGTAGGGAGCTTTGAGTCCAGTGTACTCTGAGAAAGACCACCCCTCAGTTTTGTCATCATGAGGGTCAGTAGGGCATCCCAGAACTCTGTAGAGCTCCTGCAAAGATGTTGCCACCCCTTTCTACTGCCCAGTATAAGTCTTGCCAACTTTGTGCCTCAAAACCATTAAGGTGAATTTCATGTCTTAGATTCTTGTTAATTTTATAACCACAAGAAGCCTCATATGACTTGTAACATCCTTTTTTCTGGATCCACATTCCATCCCCAGTGCCTAAAACACTTCTGTGCCCTCTGGAACTCGAATTGAATCATTAGTAAAATTCCCTGGAATCTTTCATTTCTTTCAGCCTTTACTTTGCCTCTGTTCTATTTGAAACTACTTCCCTGAATCCTTCTCAGGAGGTCACTTTTTTTTCCTATACCCCTCACACCAATGGGCCTGAAGATAGACTAGTTTTTGTCCTTAAGCTTCAATGCCACTATAAGACTACTCTCCACTTTTGCTAAAATTTCTCTTTGAATCTTGTGTCAACAAACTATATCACCTGCTGTCTCTCCTTGTTGCAAATGATCCCATTTTCTCTCACCCTTATTCTTGGGGTCACTCATTCCATTGCTGCTTCTGTTATAATTCTTGATGATTTCAATATCTATCTTACATTAGTTTTTCTAGTTTCTCAGTTCCTTGCTTTCTCTAATAATGATCTTGTTCTCCAGACTGTATTGGCCACTTACTCCTATGATCAAATCCTAGTTTTTATCATTACCAAAATCCATAATTCTTTCTTAATATGAATTTCAAGCATCTGATTCTGACTACCACCTCCTGTTTTACTGGTTCATGCCCCATTCCCACCCTAACTCTTAACAATTCTTTCATCCCACCATATCCTACAATCCATTAGTCATACCACTAGGACAGCCAAGTATAAAGGGGTCCCTGGAGAAACTCTGACCAGCCTGTGCACTGGGGGAACAGGTTGGAGCTACAAAAGTTTGTGCCCTTTGCAGTGGAGAGGACCTTGGCCTCTCCTGTTCCGGAGTGGAACTTGGCATTGAATCTGTGAGGCACAAAACTGCCTAGCAGGACTCTTGCTTTGCTAAGAGTCCCTCTTTTCCTTTATTTCCTCTTCACCCAATAAATTCCATTTTTCTCAACCTTCAAAGTGTCTGTGAGCCTAATCTCTCATGGTCATGTGACAAGAACCTTGTTTTTAGCTGAACTAAGGAGAAAATCCTACAACAGCATTGGCACCCAACATGGGGCTTAAGAAATGGAGAGTGAGATGCAATCCAAGAAATCTCTTTCCCTCTCATTTCTAAGTGTTTTTGTCTTTGGACTTCTGAGGGTAGGGGAAACCATGCCCTCACCCCCATTACTCCCAGGGTCAGGGGTCTTTCCATGGCCTTTTCCTTCCTTTTTTTGGATGGACAGGTGAGTGGTGGATCCTCACTCCCCCTCCTCAACCATTTGAGGCTGGTGAATGCCACACATCCACAGTGTCTTCATCTTCCCCTGCCAAGGGGTTCAACTCCCATCTGACAGCAATTAAGTTTCTCCCCCCTGAAGAGGAACCCAGTTGCATAA